ACTTTTTGCTTACGAAAGGTTTTACAATGGGAAAGGTTGACAAAACGCTTTTTGTTCTTAAGCATGGTGATAATCAACTTTTTGTTCAGATTTATGTGGATGATATCATCTTTGGTTGTGCAACTCACGCTTTGGTTGTAGATTTTGCTGAGACTATGCGCAGGGAATTTGAGATGAGCATGATGGGTGAGTTGTCGTACTTTTTGGATTGCAAATTAAGCAAACACCTCAAGGTACTTTTGTGCATCAAACGAAGTATACAAAGGATCTTTTGAGACGGTTCAAGATGGATAATTGCAAGCCAATTTCAACACCAATTGGTTCTACAGCTGTGTTGGATCCTGATGAAGATGGTGAAGCTATTGATCAAAAGGAGTATAGAAGTATGATTGGATCTTTGTTGTATCTAACTGCTTCTAGGCCAGACATACAATTTGCTATGTGTTTGTGTGCACGCTTTCAAGCTTCTCCTCGTGCTTCACATCGTCAAGCGGTCAAGCGAATAATGAGGTATTTGAATCATACACTTGAGTTTGGAATTTGGTATTCTACTTCATCTTCTATATGCTTAAGTGGATATTCCGATGCTGATTTTGGTGGTTGTAGAATTTATAGAAAAAGTACTAGTGGAACATGTCATTTTCTTGGTACATCATTGATTGCATGGTCTTCTAGGAAACAATCTAGTGTTGCTCAATCAACTGTTGAATCTGAATATGTTGCTGCTGCTAGTTGTTGTTCGCAGATTCTTTGGCTTTTATCTACTTTGAAAGATTATGGTCTTACTTTTGAGAAAGTACCTCTCTTTTGTGATAATACTAGTGCTATTAACATTGCTAAGAATCCTGTTCAACACTCACGCACAAAGCACATTGATATTCGTTTTCACTTTTTGAGGGATCATGTTGAGAAAGGAGATGTTGAATTGCAGTTTTTGGACACCAAGTTGCAAATTGCTGATATTTTCACTAAACCTTTGGATTCTAATCGCTTTGCTTTTCTTCGTGGTGAATTGGGCATAATTCATCCTTTTGGCATGGTTTGAGGGGGAGTTTGTACCTCATGGTTTTATCAAGCTATAATATGACAATGAGAAAAATTAAGAAAAGAGAGCTTTGTTTATGCATATGGTATTTTCTTGTGCTTGCTAGCAATACTTTGAAGGTTTATTTGTCTCTAGTATAGCTTGTATGTATTCTAGTCTTTCAATGAGACTTAGATTTTGTTTTTAAGGGAGATGATACATGACACTTAAATTCTATACTTGAATTAAGAAAATATGCAATGTTGATGCTAGCATATGGTTTGATCTATAAAGCACGCTTTATGTATATGCTTTATTGAATTGTTATTCCTCAACTAGTTTTAATTGCTCATTGTGAAAAGAGAATAAAAATATGAAAAAAAAAATGAATACCGAATCCTTGGAAATAGTCTTGACGACAAGGACGTATTCGACGTGAGCAAAATAATGGGTGCCGAATCCCTGGAAACAGTCTTGACGACAGGGACGTACCCGGAATAAAAGAGAAAAATATGAGCAAAAAGGCTCAAGAAATTCTCTTGGTTGTTTTTTGTGCTAAAGGTTATTTGGGAAAGAGTGATAAATGCAAATAGGTATATGTGTTTGGTGTATATTCTTCAATCTATGTGCTTGTTAAGATGTTGCATTATAAATCGTATGAAATCATGAATTTTGATTGTTGATTCAAGCTTAATTGTAAAATCTTTGGTTCATGTTTATACTTTAATGCATGCTTGTTATATTATAGATGGGTTCATCTTTTTTTTATTGCGACACATGACTTGATATGCTATATGTATGCTAAGCTCTTGAACATTAATGAATATAATTCCTATTCTTGATGAAATCATTGTCAAAAGGGGGAGAAGAGATGAGTTTTTGGAGAAGCAAGGTGTTGAGAAGAGCATGTTTTTTGGTTCAGTTGGGAATTTCTTTCTTTTAAAATGGAAAAAGGGGAAGAAGTTTTCTTTTGGATTTTTTAGCACGATGTGTACATTTGTACGAAGTGTGCTTTTTACCACTTTTGTTTTTATTTTTTCAAACAACAAAACATTTTTATGAGTTTGCCAATGTGTTTATCAAGGGGGAGATTGTAAAATCAAAGGTGTTTTTGATTATTATTTTGTGATGAACAATTGGGCATTGAAAGTTATTGGTTTTGTTATTTGGAATTTATTCACGAAGTGGTTTTGGAGATGATTGGATTTACAGGTAGCCGATCCCCGCTGTCGCCGTCGTCGCACTCACCCGCCGCCAGCTGCCGATGTTGCTGCCGGCGTTGCTGCTGATGTTGCTGTCGACGACGAAGCGGTAGTGGACGTCGTTGCGCTCGAGCCCCACGCCACCGAGCCCCAGGATGCCGCCGCGGAGCCCCGGCAACATCAGCCCGAAGTGCTTCAGTGGGCTGTACACCGTCACGCCGGCGCATAGTAGCGGCGCCGCCTGCTCCGGCGCTAGCCTCGCCGGGATTTTCACCACGGCTTCACGGCGACGACGCGGGCGCGGCCATGGACGACCTGGCGCTGCTGCCATCGGCTTCACGGCGACGAGCGCTACAAGGAAACCCCGTCCCTCTGCTCCGCCCGAGCCCGGAGCCGCCGCTCGCCCACCGCTTGCCGCCGCCACAGCCGCGCTCGCCCACTGACGCCGCCCCTCCGCTTGCTCCAACCGCGCGCCGCCGCCCGCTGCCGCTCGCCCTCTGCGGCCGCGCTCGCCGACGCCGCCCCTCCGCCTGCTCCGGCCTCGGCGGGGGTGAGGTGGAGCTCGGAGATGAGGCGGTCGAGCTTGTTGAGGACGAGGCAGGGGCGGAGGCGCTCGAGGAAGGCCTGGCGGAGGGCGGCGTGGGTCTGGATGTGGACGCCCTCGACGGCGTCAACGAGGATGAGCGCCGATCGAGTCGGAGAGCCTCGCGGCGCCGGTGGAGGAGACCTCGGAGCAGAAGTCGATGTGCCCCAGGGAGTCGATGAGGTTGACGCGGTGTCCCCCGTGGTGGAGCACGAGGTGGCGGACTTCATGGTGATGGCGCGACATGTATAGTTGCAGCACATTGCAGGATTCTTGCTCGCTTTAGCTTGGCTTTTTTTTTGGATGGGCGACGAGTGCTCGGCTGCCATTTCATCTCCTCCACTTCTCGCTGGATTTTGCTGTGTTCTTCGTGTTTAGATTCTCGCCGCCGTCCGCTTTAGCTAGACACGGGTGCCTACTGCTAGATTGTTTTGGAGCAGAAGCAGGTGTCACCTTGCGATGAAGAATCGTCAGAAATGAGTGTGGTGACTGCTTGGATATGCAGAGGGGCATTTGGTTGTTGAGACGAAAAGATGGAATACTATCTGCAGCACATTGCAGGATTCTTGCAATGTGATGGTGATGGCGCGGCGCTGCTCCTCGTCGAGGTAGTCCATGAAGCGGAGGCGCCCCGCGAGCCTCGGGTTGACGTAATTTTTTTACCGCGAGCCTCGGCTGACATGTGGGCCCTACGTATTTTTTTAATTTTTTTTTCTGACTAGGATGCCACGTCAACAAAATCGGAAAAAAAATATTACCATGAGACCTCCTTTGAACGGTTTGAGTGAGTTTAGGGGTACATTTCTGATTTTGTAGTCAAGGGATCTTAGAAAATCTCGATGTTAAGTTGAGGGACCTCCGGTGACCTTATTCCTTTTATGCGTACACCACTCTATCTCTATCGTGGACAAAATTATCATTTCCGAATCATAAAAGGCATGACGGACGAAAGTTTTGACAAAAACATTTTAATTTTTTATAATAGTAGAGATAGATATTAAACTAGAAAAGATGCCCATGCGTTGCAACGGGTAGAGCCGATTTAATTTGTACATATGTGTCAGTGGATAAATAATTACAACCTATTGTTTCGTCTATTCATGTGCTTATCCGAATCACTTATTGCCAAATAAAAGACTATTTGTGTGTAAATCTTTTATATACATGTTCTTAGCAACCAAAAAACAAATGTTGTAAAATAAAGTACGATAAAAACCAAAAAGTCAAATTCAAAGGATAAGCCAAACAATGAGGCCTTTAAACACGAGCTTATTTTATCGTCCAACTTTATTTCAAGTCGGGCAGGAATTGATGATGGACGGAATCAGCAACTTCTATCATCCTTTATTTCAGTTGGCATGTTCTTTTCAAAAGTAAAACTGATTATTATGGATTATTATGGATTATTGTAACAGTATCCCTAATAGTACGTACGAGCATGTGTGGAGACTGACTTGAAATCATGCTAACATGTTCCAGGAATCGTGTCGTGTAATACGAATAGAATCAGATGATCTAGGCAACAACGTACGTGATATCCACATGGACTCTGCGAGTTTTATTCGCTTGGTATCTACATCACACGGACTCTCTTTTGCAGTTCGCTTGCGAGTCGTGGCTTCACAATGAATGTTACATGTGATGGGAATCGAATATGGACGACGTACCATAGTTTAGACAAGAACATCTTCAATTTTTAAATCGCGGACGAGGGCGACGCAGTCCCAATCGAACATGCGGCAAGGGCAAATCACGCACACAAAAGCATTGCGGGCCCAATCATGGCGGCGCGCAAAGGCGCGTGTGGAAAACGAACTCAGGCGCGGCCCAATCGCTGCGTGTGGCAAGTGGCGCGTGAAAAAAGTGCGGGCCCAATTAATTCGCGCGTCTCGGATAAGAGGGTCACTCTTGCGTATGAAAAAAGGAAATGATTTGACATAAACATAAAATTAAAACCAATTTAAATACGGATGACATACCAAAATTCTGGTGAAAACATCTTTAATTTTTATATAATAGTAGATATAGAGACATAGACTATAGTACAATGGTATATTTAAATTATATGAATACTACTCTTATATCATTGCCACTTAGCACAAATGTTGAAAATTACAAAGGTAACCAGTCCAGAATTATTCTCTGTATTAATTGATTGAATCGATCGAGTTGAAACTTCATTATATACACATGACTGAACCAGGATTTGTTATGAATATATCAAGGTCTTATATATAGTACATTTGTATATACACAAGCTTCGAATCATCCTACAGTAGAATATGATGATGCATATATTAAGATTATGACATGTCAACTTGAACTGAGCATGCAATTAAGAGTTGCATGCATCATCGTGTATCTAAAATCTTCCTCTACGCCATGACCGTGCATTGGGCGAGTTAATCTTGTCTAGAATTAAAAACATCGCATTCCATGTCACCAAAAGGCCGCCTCCTAATAAATCATACCAGTTTGAGGTCACACCAATATAGTGGATGCAACACACATATCCAATCTCGCAAAGAACTCTCTGCACCAGGTCTGCATCCGGGTCCCCCAATCGAGGCATATCCTTGTAATAATAGTATGCACCTGAAAGCACATTGGTTTTAGGGAGAGATAACACAACACTCGAAGTTAATTTCATAAGTGAAATATCATAACACATCAAAAGCAGGACAAGACAAAGCAGTCAAGCCACTCAAAAGGTTTGCAAAGTTAATTTACAGCAGTGATTAGGATATATAAATATAAAAGAAATAAACTTTTCCCTAAAAGAAGAGAGGACCTAGACGCTTGCCAGGGCAAGGCAACTAGAGATTTAACCTGAAGTTGTATAATTCCCTTAGTCATGTTGCCAATTAATTAAAAAAAAGATAGGTACCCAAAAAAAAATTGATCTGCTTTAGTGTCCCTAAAATTGTTTATCCACCCATTTGATGATTGAATGGTATAGTAATCATACTTGGTTCTTCTTGATTCTCAGCTAATGCAACTGACATCACATCTATCGCTTAGGAAATCATGCAATATATCGTTCATCGGAACCGTATCCTCTTACATTACACACTAATGTCACGGTGTGATATTCTTGAATCCATGCCATCCAAACTAAATCAATGGCTATAGATTAATTGGCATACAACTAATTAAATTAATTAGCAGATTATGTAGATAAACATTACCATACCTAATTAATGAGTAGGAAAATTCTTTTAGGCACTAAAGTAGTCCCTTCATGTTTATTAACATTAGCCGATCGAGCGACCTGTAGATTAAGAATTGTCTTTTTTTCTTATGGAGGATGGCAACACAAAGAAAATTGATGGACGAGATTCATTCCTTCACAAGATCATATGCTAATCAGTGCATCTAACAGGTAAGTAAAAGCTAATTATCATCATGTGCTATAGTTACATGCCGATTCTTGTACCATTTAGCTATATTTGCCTCCTTGATAATGCAATATATATCTGGGCTATGAGAATTTTTATAACTACATAATCTACTAATTAGTTTGATTAATTGCATGCCAAATAATCTATGATTGTTGATTTAAAATGGATGGTGTGGATCAAAGGAATGTCATACCGTGACATTAGTGTGTAATGTTAGAGGATACGGTTCCATCGTCATAGCCATAGGACGTTACAATAATGGCTACTCGGCTAGACACATATCCTATACTGATCTTGTGCCATGCCAGTGCAAGCAGTCGTCATTGGTAAAATTTCGTTGAGGACATACTGTAACAGGCAGAACTGTACCAAGAACACAAAAGTGATTTATACTGGTATAAAAAGATTTTCGTAATGACAGAAATTACAACATAAAATTTCAAATATATATATATACTCCCTCTATTCCAAAATATAAACCTCAACCATCCTTAACCTAAAGACCAAAAAATAATTAATATCATATCATTATCATAAATCAATCTAATTAGTACAATACATGCAACTAATAGAATTAAAAATCTTATGAGTGTAGGATTTAAAATAATAATTTAGAAGATAGAATGTGCTAATTAATTAAATGCATGCATGCACCGCTATATTATGAAACAAAAAGTAGTTGTGCCGTATATTTTAGAACGAAGGAGTATATAAGTTAGATGTGGGGGGTTAATTTCTAGGGTATGGTGATGGTAATGTTGCGGCGACCGTGTGCGAGCAATGGGGGCGGCCGGGGGGAGAAGGAAGCTCTGAATTGAAGGAAGAAGCTCAAGCTGTGGAGGAGAAATTAAAGACAGGGCAAATGAGGAGGCAGGCACACCTTTGGGCGGGGATGAACTGCGCTAGCTGCACTTGGTGGTGGTGGTTGGGATCGAGGGGATCCGATCGATCGATCTGTAGAGGAGGCAAATTAACCTAGCTTTGGGATGATATATCGATCTGCACTTGGCGGCGGTGGCGCTTGCCGGTGTGGATCCCAATCTCAAGGGGTAGCAGATGCAGCAAGAAAGGAGGAAGAAGATCGACTTGGGATCATGGTCGCGGGTGAGTGCGCCGTCGGGAGTCGTATATATTCCGGACTATCGATCCCGCCCCCACGTTAGTCCTTCTTGGGCCTAATGGGCCATTAATGGGTTATATATAATTACCTTAATCCTAACACTAATAAACGTGCCATATTTTTGTGTGCAAACCAATTAACTAGCCTTTAATTTGCGGTACGCTTCTATCTAATACGTATACATAAAAGTATATTTAACAATAAATCAAATGATAGAATAATTACTTAAATTTTTTAAATAAGACAAACAATCAAGCATATTTAAAAAAGTCAATGGCGTAAAATATTTAGAAACGGAGGGAGTATATATTAATCTATTTTTACAAAAAAAAATACTATCTATGTACCCCTCCGTTTCTTTTTATTTGTCGTTTTTGACAGCTTCAGCGAAATTAAGGTTCACGTGAATTTACCCTTTTACCCTTCCTCTTCCCCGATTCGTTCCCCTTCTACGCGTGACGGCAGCGGCGCCCCATCCTGATCCTGAGCGCCTCGACAGGGCCGACAGCCGGGACGGCGGCTCTCTTTCCACCTCCCCTGCCGCGGCTTCCCCATACCGATCTTCTCCCTCGACTGATCCCCATCGCCGGTCTCTCCTGCCGCTCCTGCCGCAACACCTTCCCCACCGCCGGTCTCCCCTGCACCTCGTCCCCGGCGGCCGCCTTGCCAACCGCTCCAGCACGACCTCCCCTACCACAAGAGCGGCCACCAACACCGCTGCCGCCGGCGGCGACATCTGTGAGGACAACAAGCTTCCCACTGCCACCACCTGCTGCTGTCACTGCTGCTGCGCGTGGGTCAAGAACACCCACGGCTTCGCGTATTTGCTTAGGTAATCAGCAATATGACTTGCGGTAGTAGTAATAGTTGATGAGAGCTGCTTGTTCGATTGGTGTGGTTAAGTGCAGACACCTGTGATGTATTTGTTCAGGTAATCAGCTATGTTTGCTTGCTGCACTAGCACTTCAGCAGATATTAGTTATAGGTGAGTTGTGAGCTGCATAGTCATAGGCTCATAGCTAACGATGAACTAAGTGAAAAAACAGGATTTGTGAGTTGCAACTGCTACTAAACTAATGAGTAATCGGCAGTATTTGAGCAAGTTTAATAGTATAGCCAACTACTAGCTCCAAAACATCTATAGCCAATTTAATAGCCAATTCATACAATAGTTGCTTACTATACTATTAATACATGGTCCTACCTATCATACACGCATTGCATCTTAGAGTCTGTGCTGCAGCTGGTTATAGATCTGTAGCCCGCTAATCTTCTCTCTTCTCTTTTATCTCTTTAAAATATGTTTATAGCTGGTTTATAGTCTGCTATTGTACCTGCTCTTATTCAGTTTATAATTTGTCTCTGCAATCATATGCAGTGCAGGGCTAGCACTAATGAACATGCAAGACAAGAGGAAAGCTACCTTCTATTGCTGCTCCTGACAGCCGAGATATGGGCACAAGCAGCAAAAGAAAAAGGCCTGCAATGGGCAATAGAAGCAAAAGAAACCTCATTTAGTTTCCTTGTTAATTTAGTTAGTTAATTGAACTGTTGCGTATGGAAATGATACTGTGGTGGGAGTATGGAATGAACTAATTCGTTAATTATGTATTGCAACTTTTTGTATATGTATGCAGTTCTTATGGGTGCAGAATGCATAATATATTGCTCAACTTTGTAATGTGTGGTTTGTTGGTCTCGATTAAGTGATTAATTAATGTACTGCAAGGTTGGTTCCTGACTGAGGATTTTGAGATCTCCAGAATTTGTATGTGTGTTCTTTGGTTATAATTTAAGCATTATCAAATTATAGCTAGTGTATTACTAGTAAAAAGTGAGCTTATTTCAGTTCACCCTTATTGCTGGAGTAATTAGATTTCAGAACAAGTCCCATTTCCTGTTGGAAGAAATGTTACTCCTAATTAGCTAATCAATGGCCGAATCATGCTCTTTAGAACCAAAGTGTTGGGAATTTGATTGAATCTTGAGATACACAATGCTAGGTTCAGGGATTTGATTTAATCTTGATGCTCACTGGACAGGTCTTAGAAGATACCGGGTGTTCTTGTGTGTAATGCAAGTACTCCCTGGTTTGATTTTGGGTCACTTCTAACAGGTTTTTATTCGAGGAGTATTTCATAATTAAATTTTGAGGAATGGCAGTTCCTCATTTCTAATAAGGTTAATTCCGATGTTTTATGATAAGCACTAGCATGTACTCCCTTGCTGGTATATTTGTGAGTATACTTCATGTTTAGGAATGGAGTAAAAGAGGCTAATCCCTTGCTGGTGTTTGCTAGTGCTGGTGGTGGTGGTGCTGCTAGCTGCTGCAAACTGTGTGTGCAGGCTGGTATTCCTGTAACATGCTGATGAACAGCGCATTTGTCCGGTGATTGCCACCATGAAAATCTCATTGCCATTCAGAACATTTTCTAAAAAAAAAAAACAGATCAACATATTGTATTCCCTCAAACTGATATTGAGATCAACAAACATATTGAGTATTTATGGACTTCACGTCTGCCCAGGCATCTGAACTGCTACTTGGAGTACAATTTTGTGCAGAAAATTCACATTACAAACTCATTATAGGCATTCTCATTACATCTCTGAATGTACTCCTATTTGTAAGCTTGCAGTAGGCAATTCTATAGTACTTCCATGTCTAAAGGGAGTATGCCTGATATGCTGCAGATTGTGATACATAAAATAATCTAAGACATGAAATAGACTGCATCATTGTGCAATTTGACAGCATAATCTGTCTAAACCTTCGGGCTTCTGCATATTAATTTTCTTGCTACTTTCAGAACTTTCAGTGAATGTATATGCAGCCTGTAAGAGTAGAAGTTTTATGCTTCACTTCACTCACCTGCTTTGAGAAGATTATTGGCTCTCATCTCTGGCATGTTAGCATGATGCCAGTGGTTTGTTTATGCAAGATTGACCATCTCAGAGCCCAGCTCTTATTCATGTCTGTAGTTTCTTTTAGGTGGAGGATGACTCGCGCGCGCCCCGCGTCGCTCTCGCGCGGGCGGCTTGGGGCGAAACCCTAGCCAACCGCGCCGCCACCCCTCCCCACCTCTCTCGACGCCTCGCCGCCGCCGGAAACCGCGCGGCCGGCTGGGAAGGTGGCGGCGGGGAAATCAAGCCGGCGAAGGTCCTCCTCGACGCAGGAGGCGGAGCAGCGCATCGTTCGGGAGGCGGCGGTCGGCGGTGCACGGTGCGACGACTTCTCCGGCGCCAGGCGACGGATCCGGCACCGCCCCGCCCGGAAACAGCCCCACCGGCGGGGGCGGCGGCGTGCGGTGCGTGCGGCGGGGGCGACGGCGTGCAGCGCGGCGTGAGCTCGGGCAGGAGGTGCCAACGGCGCAGAGCGGCGGCCGACGACCAGATCCGCTCCCCTCCCCTCCGGATCCGGCCTCCCCGGCGTGGGAGGCTGGCCCCCGAACCATCGGCGGTGGGAGGGCGGCGGGGAGCGGCAGTGGCGTGGCGGCGGGGAACAGCAGTGGCATGGCGGCGGGGAGCGGCACTGGCGAGGAGGCCGAGCGCCGGCGCGGGCATGGAGGCAGGGGGTGCGTCCGTCCGGCGGGGTGCGAACGCGCACGGCGCAGGCGTGCAGTCCGGTTCCAGCCGAGCCTTCGACGGCGATGAGGAGTGGGCGAGTGGCGGCTGGGCGCGGCGGCCGTGGCTCGCCGGTGCGGGCGCGAGCGGCCAGGCCTCGACGGCTGGGCAACCGGGATGCCGCCGTGGTGGCTAGGTGGGGAGCGGCGGCTGGGCAATGGGAGCGCAGGCGGGTGGCACCGGAGCCAGAGCGGCAACGTTTCCACCGTTGGCGCAGGCCCAGATGGTTGTGCTAAGGGAGCTGGCAGCGGTGGGTCGTCTTCCTCGTTGCCGGTCAGCATCCTCACCCTTTTTGGAGCTCCTCCCCTTCGTTATGGGGAGTTTTAGACTGGATTGAGGCGGCAGCTTGTCAGCGGGGGAAGCTCAGGCTGCTGAAGCAATGCCATCCAATCCCAGGTTCTCCTTCGGCCAGATCTGGTGAGGAGGCCAGCAAGTGGTGGAACGGAGAGGTCCTAGGCCAGTTCTTAGGGATGGTGGTTCAATGAAGCCGGCCGATGGAGGGGCGTCGGTCAGGTGTGGTGGAAGCCATGTGCCGCCGATGTTCAGATGGCGGATTCGGATTGGGTGACGTACCATGGTGGTAGAGGGTGCCGAGCGAAAGCTTAGCCCAATTCTTTGGGCCAATAGTGACTTCGTCTTCGGGCGTAGTAACCCTCTTGAGGGCACTGTTGAGGTATCCCTCCTCCCTCGGCAAGGAGCTCTGGGTGAAAACCTTGTCCAGTCTTTGGATGGATGACAGCGGTGTCTTTTGGCGTCGTGACCCTCGTGAGGGTGTTATTTTAGAGTCTTCGTGTCGTAGTGGTGTCGTTAGCTCAGTGGCGATCGGTCTCGCATAGCGATGGCTAGTTCGGTGCTTGGCTTTCCTCTCTGTAGTGTGTGTTTGGACGGTTGGCACATGGTTCGGGGTGTGTGCTCTGGTGCACATCCTTCCTCGACAGCCAGCTGTCGACGTAAAACTTTTTTTTTAACTTTTTCTTCCTATCTTAATTATATTGAATGACCTCCTTCGGTCATTCCAGAAAAAAAAAAAGAAGATTCTTTCAGACTAAAACTAAGAAAAAACAGAAAAAAATAACAGAGGAGCTTGACGCTGGGCATGAATTACTGACACGACTGACTCGGAGATGAAATTGAAATCGATTTCGTTAAGCCTAAAATCCATACGGAACTCACAAGAAACCAATGCCGACCTGCTGATGCATTTCAGGTGCAAAGAGAGTAGGGAGAAGGGGGGGAGGAGGGATTCATGTACGCCGGCGTCAGCGGCCGCCGCCGTCCATCTGCTCATTTTCCTAATCTATGGATACCGGGACACTCTAGAGATGGCTGATAATCTTCTGCTAATCTAGTGCTCTGAGCTGTTCATGCATATTACAGTTCATCTCCTTCCCAGCAACGGGAGAAATCAAGAACCAACTAAGCTCTGCCTAGCTCGGGCGGCGAGCTCGGAGCTCGACGCCGGCGGATGGCGGCGATCGAGAGCCTGGGGTTTGATTGATCCATCGGCATCGTGGCGCGGACGTCGGCGCCCCCACCGAAGCAACGCCGCTGGCGGTGACGATGACGTCCTCCTGGTGCTGCTGCTCCTGTTCGCCATCGCCACGCCAGCCAGCATCCCCAGCCCCGCGGATGCGAGAATGACAAGATGGTGCAGAGCTGCGGGAGGCTGGGGCCGAGGCCATGACAGAAAGTCGCCATCGCACGCGAGGCCGAGGTCGCCATGCTGTGCGCCGGCGCCGCTGGAGACTGGGTTGCGGCCTTGCGGGATGGAGAGAGCGCGAGGGGCAAGGATGGAATTTCGCGTAGGATAGCAGGTGGAGATGAACTAGAGCATCAAATAAAAAGGATGTTTTCGGTTTGTGCTGATAGCGATAAATAAAAAGAAACAGAGGGAGTAACATGCAAGAAATTAGTTAATGTTCCCTCCAGAAATGAAAATATTTTAACCATTAAACATGATGACGCAGTGAGGCACAACGGAAGCTTAGCACAACTCATCAGGAGACAAAAAATCAACAAATTAAGCGCATAAAATGATTCATAAACAAGTATCAGTATGTTCACTAAAGATTTGTATGCGTTCATGCATGTGCTATGCACTAAGCATGATCATAATTTATGAACTCCTGACACGACGCCAGCCAGATCAGCAGAAAATGAAACAAATTAAGGGGATTGCAGCTACACCATTAAACACAACTTGAAAAAAAACCTTCAAGTAGAAAATATACAAGAAAAGGTTTGGCAGTGCTGAATCGGTGAAGCCTACGTAATGAATTTGCACATTTCTTACACAGATAAGAAACCAACAACTAGTGCACACGATCGAATCACACACATTTCTCACTGAATTTTTTTGTACCAGTATGAACTTAACAGGTTATCTGCAGGTTGCACATTTGCCTAGTGCCAATGCTTGCAAACCACTCGGCACACGCAAATTTCATCACAAGTTGTAGGCCATTGCAGAATTTGATATAGACTGACCAATCGATCAAGAAGTGTATTCGTATCGTTAACAGAAGACTCAGAATCAGTGTTCCAACAGGGCGGAGGAGAGGATGGCAGGAAAGCTATAAAGACAAACAACTCAACTGAACCACTTGAGAAACCACATGTACTTACTAATTAAGGTGAATGCTGTAAAATGATGTAGGAGGATTCGAAGTTAGCATATCACATCAGGAAAGAAAATTTTAAGGAAACCAAAATACTCCATAATGAGTAGGCAACAACCTTGCAAAGAGAGCAGAGTAGCAGATAAAAACAGAGCAAAACCAATTAAAACCCAAACGATGGAACGCACAACGCAGCATCATTCGGCGCTGAAAATGTCTTCAAAGATTTCATTTCAAGCCGAACCACACAAAGTAGTAGGACATGCATGTCGTCACAGCACATTACTCATCATCCTGTCCTAATCAGAGAAGAAAACCGCAGCCGCAGCAGCAGGGGTGAAAAAAATGGAGACGATTGACTCACGCACTGTCTTTCGCCGTAAGCGGCGGCGGAGGCGATCTGTTTGGAGCCGGAGGCGAGGGCGACCGCAGCGGCCAGGTTGACGATGCTGGCTGGGCCTGCATGGGATCGATCAGTCGTTGCGGCCGCCGCCTAGGTAGTCGTAGGCGAGCTTGATCGCTAGGACGGCCACTCCCGCACTGAGGACCAGCACGCCGCCGACCCAGACCCATGTCGGTATCGGTGTAGTAGTCGCAGTCGAGGGAGGCGTGGTCGGGGTCGGGGTCACGGTGGCGCGTGGAAGTGGAGGCGGAGGCCTCACCGTGGCCGTCGGTATCGGCGGCGGCGTTGGGCTCGCTCTGGTGGTGGTGGGCGTCGGGGAAGGAGGCGGTGGCGTTGCTGTCGACGGTGGCGGTGGCGACGCGGGTGAAGGCGGAGGCGTTGCTATCGACGGTGGCGGCGGCGACGCGGGAGGAAGAGGACGAGGCGGCCTCGCGATGGTCGGCGGCGTGGGGGGAGCTGGGTCGGAGTCGAAGTACTCGGGCTCGCAATCGCAAGCCAGCACCGGCCCGATGCAGGGCTTCATCCACTTCCCCTCGTCGTCGTCGTCGACCGCCGCTGCCGCTGCCGCCGCTGCGAGAGCCCATGACGAGTGTGCCCACGCCGCGAAGTGGGCGGACCTGTCGCTCTGGAGCTGAGGAAGGATCGGGCCGACGCAGTGGTCGGCGGAGGAGGAGGCGTCGTCGTGGGTGCCGGTGGTGTCGAAGTAACCATGGAGCCCGTAAACCGACTCGAACTCGACGAGTTGCTCCCTCTTGATCTTCCCGAGCACCTCGCACCCCTGGGCCGCGAGCCTGGCGCTGGCGATGCTCTGCAAATGTGCAACCTCAATGTCGCCCGGACCCGGAGGAAGGACCGAGCTGCCGCGGTGATCGGCGGAGGAGGCGGACGATGAAGAGAAGTCGGCGTCGACATGGAAGGTGAAGGTCTCGAACGGGATAGAAGCGCCAAGGAGGTGCTCCCTCCAGCACTCCTTGGCAAGCTCTGCTCTACACCAAGATCAAGGGGAGAGTTAGCTTTATAGGGATTGGGTATACAAAATCAAGTCAACAACTCTTATTGCCCACTCCACTAGCCTCGGGGGTAGGCCTTGATAGAACCCACGGTGAGCGGAACATGTCGATCGCTCGACACACACACCCGCTCAATCCACTGAGGCCTCGGGGTAGTCCTGAACAGGGCCCATTACATGTGAGGTGCAGGGGTAGCTCGCGACGCACCCCTCCGAATCCATACAGGGGACATGGTTCACCACTCCTTCCCAATGGTAGGACCTACATGTCGGTGTATGGTGCGAAACGGTCAATAAGCTGGACCCTAATGGACACGTGATAATCAACCACGCCCCTGGTTTTCCACGTCCATGTCAAGGTAGGCTACGTCGTCAGAGGTGATGTGTTGCAAGTACAAGAGTCGACGCCTTGCCTTGAGGAGTTTAAATGCAAATTTTAACGTAAAGCTTGCCAACTTGTATTTTTATAATTTCAAATAGGTCATATGAATTTAGATGAAGTCAAACTTTAAATCAAAATTTTAGAGCTCGAGACGATCTACAAACTTTGTGGTTAACAACTTTTTCATTTAAGATCTTTAGGAGTCAAATGACCTCTGATGAAGACAAGCTTTATACAAAAGTTGTATATCTAAATGAGATCTACAATTGTGTTGTTTATCATTTTCTTTTTCATTTAAAATTATTTAAAGTGTCAAATAAGCATTACTATTTTTTTTAAAATTAACACCGGCTAGAAGGATCTTAATGCAAAAAAAAACATTTAAGACCCTTCTCGCCCTCTATAAGGGTGTAGATCTGTAAATTTCCAAAACAAAGAATTATATTTTGTAAGTATTTTAGTAAGAAAAATTCTTTCCCCAAGGATGAGAAACAGGCCAAGGCGCAAACGACCTGTTTGGTTGGAGGGAGTTGGTGATGGGGAATGGGAGTTTATGATATCTGGGAGTTTAAGTCTGTAGTTTGGTTGGAAGACTTGAGAATTCGAGGGGGTTTGGGATGGGGAATTAAAAGGTCGAATTCCCACCAATATCTTACCTGGTAAGGCATGTTAATTCGTGAGACTTGGAGGGAATTCGACGTGAAACCAAACAAGGAATAAGGACTAAAAATGTAACTCTCATAACCAATCCCACCATCAAGTTCCTTCTTAAAACTCCCATTCCTCTTTCCTTCTCTTGCCTAACAGGCCGAAAGGAATTAGGAAGGACCACCAACTCCTTACGCAAGAAAATAAGCGGCCCGCGAGTTGGATGCTTTCCAAGCCCGCATCCATGGCTCTCCTTCTGTCTCTCTCTCTCTCTCCCCTCCCTCTCATAACCAAACCACCGCCGCGTCCCACTCCCAACTCCCAAGTCCCACCACCACCACTCGCCGGCGGGATGAGGAGCTGCCGTCCCCCTCCACCCGCTTCGCCACCACGGCACCACTGCTCCGCCGCGACAGTCGCTGCCCGCCATCGCTGCGGTGGGAGCGGCGGCGGCGGAGGCAACCCCGACGCTGATCGACTTCGCCAAGCCGCCAGATCTGGAGTTCTGGACTCCACGGCGCCTTCGCAGATGCGGGAATAGGGCTCCGCCACTCGATGAACCTGCTGCGGCCACGAACACGACGACGAGCTCGCTGGCCTCGGCGGCTGGCGTCCTACAGGAGCACATCGCCCCGGGCTACTTCCCGGGTTCCCCTGCTCCGAGCTCGCCACCGCCCCCACCCCTCGGCTTCCCGGGGCTTCTCCCTCAACCTCAACCTCGCCGGCTCCGAGCGGGTCCCGTTCGCCATCCACCACGTCAGGCTCCCTGAGCTCTACAAACGACGGGTGCACGGCCTCCACGGCTTCGTTCCTGCCACCGCGCGCTCTCCCACGGCTTGCATCATCGCCACTGCCACCACCAACAGCACATCACCGCCGCCTCCGTGTCCGTGGTGCGCATCATGATCCGCGAGGCCATCGACCACTATGGCTTCGTGGCGCTGGCCATGCGCGTCAAGTTCGCCGAGCTCGATAGGTTGCCGAACATGACGGTGTTCCCGCTGGACGACCAGGCCATCTTCGTCGGCGAAGGCCACGACGACTACGTCTCGGCGCGCGGTCCGCTTCCACGTCGTTCCCGGGCACCGCCTCACCCACGCCGACATCCAGCAGGGCGTTGGGAGCATCGTGCCGTTCGAGCGCCACCACCTCTGCCGCCGCGGTTGCTCCTGATTTGCGGCATCTGGCGCGGCAGCTTCGGCGGAGCTACTCGCGCGCCGCTGGTCGTCCAAGGCCGCCACGGCCTCCCCGACATCCCGCCGTTACTGGATACCCGGCACGGGCGGGGAGAGGCGGAGGCTGCCGAGGCGCAACATGCTCTGCTCCACCTTGACGCGGCGCTGCGCCCGAGGAGGCGACAGGGCGTGGAAGGACCACGTCGACGTCGCTGGCGAGGGCTACGCCGTGGATCGGACCCCGCCACGGCCATGCTAGCTGCTCAGGATAGCCCACATTTGGCTCCTCTACCGGCGGGCCAAGTCTGCCACAACCCACAATTGGCCATCGTCGATCCTCGTCCGGCGCGCCGGCGGACCTTCCTTGGCGTGCACCCTCGCCGGCTGTGCCACCCACGCGCGTACTACGACGGTGGCTGGGTCTTCATCGCCTTCGGCCACACGCCCACTCCCTGGCTGGACTACGCGCTCCTCAACGGCGAGCCCAACTTGGGAATGGCCTTGGTGGCCGCGACCCTCTCTTCGCCGCCATCAACTACTCTGCACCCATGTCCTCTCCTCTCCTATCCGCCCAAGACGTCCGCGATCAGGGTGTTGGAGATGGTGCTTGGAACGAGCTGGAATCGCTGGGTGGGCTGATGCTGTTCCTGTTCGTCGCTGCAGATCGTACAATGCGGACGACTTTCCGGCCACCGAGTTCAACGTGGCCGTCGGCAAGTGGTTGTCAGCGGTCAAGTTCTTGCCGGAGCAAGTCCCGTCGAACTACTCACCGCCGGCGTGGCTTCTACCCCGTTATGTTCGTTTGATCGATCGTCCTGGTAGAGGTATTCTTGCTGTCAACTTGTTCAAGATGTGCTTTAAGATTGCAATTGCAGTTTCAGTTTCAATCCTCTTGCTGCCAAAGATAATGCAATTACAGTTTAGTCCAAATTTGATGTCATAATCGTGGATTGGTACAGTTGCTACAAATCTGGATATTAATTTCTCCCTTTTCTAGCACAAAATGTTTCAAGTCAGAATTATGAATGTGTGTGATCTGATGGATTGTAACAATGCATGCCGTTCATCATATGTTTGCAGTGATTTGTTTTCCTGATAGAAGCATGTTTTGCATCAAATGGATTTGCAGATTTTACGTGGTTTGTTCCAGCGGTAACTCGATTAGAATTTGGCAGTTAGGTAACAACGACATTGATGTATCAATTGCGGATTCTATACCATGCAGACTGCAGCTTTGACAAACAAAACGTGAAAAGCACTAAAAAGACTAACACGGGTCTCAAATCCTTACCCAATCAAGCTAATTTCGCACAAATTCGGTACCATGCTAATTTCGGCGAGGGAAGGGGAGGATCATCTGCGTGCAAAATTGCAGGCTTAATTAGCACGAACAGGGCAGTTAAGGTGGAAGCTGGAAAGCTTACTACATTCGGGTCCACATTTCTCTGCATAATTCAGGAGTAGTTAACATCCCAACAAACTCGAGCATTGATCCAGAAAAATAAGCAACCTGCAAATTCGATGTGAATCAAGCCAATTGCACATAATTGTCGCCGAGGATCACTGCAAAATTGTAAAATTAGCATCAAGTGAGGAAGCTCACCGAGGATCAACCTGCAAAATTGTAAAATTAGTGTCAAGTGAGGAAGCTTTTGGTGATAGGGCTTACCACATTTGGGCCCAATTTTCTCTGCATATTTGGGAAAGAATAAACGGCCCAATTATAGACCGAAGGTGAGCTCCAAACATAACAGATTGGGCCAGCTCGGCCTTCTCTACTCGGAAAAAGTACACCAAAGGTCCCCCAATTTGTCATTGAGTTACAAAATCGTCCCCCAACCGCAAAATGAGATATATTACATTCCTCAACTTACAAAACCGTTTACTTTAGGTCATTTGTTAGTTTTGACCCCGGTTTTATCCGACATGGCAGCTGAGTCAGCGTGAGACTCACGTGGGCCCCACATGTCAGTGTGGCCACGTCATTACCTTCTATCTCCCCTCTTCTCTCCCTTCCTCCTCCTTTCTCTCTATTGTCTAGGCACGTGTCACGCCCAGAAATTTAGTCCAAATTTCCAAACTATTTTGTGTATTAAATCCCTGTCTAGGCATCAGCCAGGGTACACAAAACGACAAATTAATATACAGATCTAGACGTAAATAAAGCGTAAATACTTATAGAAGAGGCACTTAGTCCTCACATCGAGAAGAAACGGCAGCAGCGGAAAAAGGCGATCCTAGCGGGGCTTCAGCTCCACTCCACAGGTAAAACTCAACTGGGGTCTGAGCCTTGGTTCTCTAACATCGCCTTCAGCTCAGAAGCACGACACTTCTGAAAAAAGGGGGAAAAATAGCAAGGCTGAGTACAACCACCGTACTCAGCAAGCCACACCAATGATGCAGACGTGCAAGGGGATTCAACGGAAGGTTTGTGGCTATTTGCATAAAGGCGGTTGCAAAGCATTTATAGTTGAAAATAGTAAAACAGTTGATTAATTAAGGTAATATTAAAATCTCCATTGAACAACGCTACACCACGTTGAACAGGGCCAACCATCCCACCTGAACTAACCAGTTCATCAAGCCAATTGAGTGTGAGACTAATCACGGTGATTCTGGTCGATCACCCATAACCGCGGGTACGGCTATTTAAATAGTTTTACTCTGGCCAGAGGTGCATAACTGTACCCACAAGACACAATCCACCGGCATGTCACCGTGCTTGGCTTGACACGTCACCATGTCGAGTGATTGTGACAAGACCCTTCATATAACCCCCTCTGACCAATCGCACCACACCTCAGGTTTCACCCCCGCCCCCGTAGGCAACGGGCAGCCTCCCTCGTGCCATGGTGAATTCGGAAGCAGCAAAGGCCGTCCCAGGGCCCATCCATACTCCATCACGCCCACCCTAGCCTAGGAACGTCAGCCAGAGGAAAGCTATACTACAGATCAAGCAGTTACCCATTCCCGCTTGTGGCAAGCCCTGTATGTCTTCCAGTGCATCCAGCGAACCGACCCTTAATTGCCATGGGTGCGACTTGCAAAACCATGCACCCAATGCCCACCATAGAGTCGTATTTTAGTTGGGTAATTACGACCAATGAAGCATGGCCGGATGTCTCGAGCACGCAGCTCGTTCTGATACTAAGAGTCTAATAATGTGATTATCCCATTGTGTGAGCTAGTGGTAATTAAGCATGGCTAAGCATATAATTCTAGCAAGATCAACATAAGTGTCACAAGCTAGATAAATTAACACCCAAGGTTGACAAAGGACAGATGTCAAGTAAACATGGCACAAGCGAGCAGATAGGTAATCCCTATTCCCATGTAATTAGCAAAACATGCATACTTAGTTGCAAACGATAAAACATTTATAAATTGGGATCAACATGTTCAAGGGGAAGTGTGTGACTTGCCTTGCTTCTTCAAACAATCTTCTGAACTCTTTTCCTCGCGACCGCGGACTTCCGAAACGGCGAAATCTACGCGCTAGCACGCAAAACGAGGAAAAACTCTAACAAAAACCAAAGAAACAATACATAAAAAGTAAACAAACATGTAGAGCTCAATTTAGAGTTCGTATGAATTAGATATGAATTTTAGAAAGTTTTGAGACATTTAATGAATTTCTAGAATTATTAACCGAATTTATTGCGCAATTATAACCATTCATGACGTCACCGAGGGGAATAGGTGGCGCCAACAAGCGGGCCCCACCTATCGGTGGCTCAAGGGAGGCGGGTGCGCGGTGGACTGGGTCCACGCGCGCACCGGCCCGCGGGCGCACCACGTGGGAGCCACGTGGTGGCCACGGCGGACGGGGAGGGCGAGGTGGCGCCACGAGGGTACCGAAGCGGGGCGGCACCAGGGGGTCACGTGGACGGCCAGGATCGGCCGGGGCGACCGATCGGCGGCCACGGGCACGGTGCGGCAAGGGGACCGGGCGGCCACGGCGACTGGCGACAAGACTCGCCAACTGACCGGCTGAGGAGCGGCGGTGTGCGGCCCGGTGGTCACCGACAACGACCACCGGCGTGGCGGCACGCACGGAAATGCGGTGGAGAGGGAGAGGGGAAAGGATAGGGGTGCTCACCGAGGGCGGAGACGGCGAAGCGGCAACAGGGAGCGTCCAGCGGCGGGGAGAGGCGGAGGGAGGCGGCGGAGCTCCGTCGATGGGCGGCGCTTGGGGAGGAGCAGACAGCGGCGGCTGCACCAAGGGAGGGGAGGAGGGGGTTAGGGAAGAAAGGGGCGGCAGCATTACCGGTCGGAGAGAAAAAAGAGAGAGGGAAGGGCTCACCAGCGCACGGGAACACGGACGAACGGCAGGTTTTCCGACGACGAGGAGGTGGTGGCCGAGGTGCGGGAGAGCACGTCGAACGTGCCCGAGGCGACAACGCGGCCGGGCGAGGTCCCTCTCACCGGCGAGGAGCGGCTGGAGCACGGTAGAAGATGGTGAAGCTCGGGTCGGTGGTGAGGAAGCGGTCCTGATGGCGATTGGAGGAGGAGGAGGGGTGGACGGGCTGCGCACGGTGACTGCGGTGCCGAGGAAGGCGACGGCGCAGCGCGAGGTGGACCGGAGATGCGGCGCGACACGGCTGGAGGCGACAATGGCGACGGTGGCTCTGCTCCGCGGTGGATGTGGTGTTTCGAGCGCGGGAGACGACGGCCGAGTGGTGGCCGAGGCGCGGCGTGGAGCGGCGGAGCCGATGGCGGTGGCGACACAGCGCGGCGGCGGCGGGAGCGACGGCTAGAGGCGGCCGATGCTCGCCGGAGAGCGGCGGCGCACGGGAGCAGCGTGGGGAGAGCAAGAGAGGGCGCGGCGAGCTCGTGGGTTTGGGGAAAATGGGAGAGGGGGCTCTGGGGAGCATTTTTATAGTGCGGGGAGCTCGGGATCGTGACCGGAGGGGGCGGAATCGGCCGGCGACGTGGGGGCGCCGACGTGGCCTGGGAGGGGCGGTTTGGCGTCAGTTTTGGATGGGAGAAGTGGGGGATTTGGTGGAGGGTGAGGGCGGCATCTCGGCCCGCGCGAGAGAGGGCGCGAGGAGGCGCGGAAATGGCGACGGCATGGGCGGTTTTGACTTAGGGAGTGGGCGATATGGCTGCCATGGAGGAGGGCTGGAGGTTGGAGGTGGCCCTGACATGTGGGGCCCACATGTCAGCTGGAGTGAGAGAGAGGAGGCCGTGGGGGGTTATGTGGACTTGAGGGGAAGGGGCCAAGCCGGGCCGAGGCAAGGAGGCTGGCCAAGATGGAGAGAGGAGGGGAAGGGGGAAGGGAGCGGGCCGAGCGGGGAGGGAAAGGGATTTTGGGCCGGGAGCGGCCCAAAGGGAAAATGGAATTTTTAATTTCTTTCCAATTTGTTTTAATTGATTTTATGAACTTTGTAAAGTTAAAATTATTTCTTGAGCTCCGAAAATTTCACGGGAAATTCCAGAGAGTTCGTTAGGGCACAAAGAATATTACAAAATATTCACGGCCATGATTTTTAAAGGAAAATTTTAATTCTCCCATTATTTCACTTGACTAAATTGCTTTAATATTTATTTAATTTCTAGAAAATGCATTATTAATTAATTTTTAATCCCGAACGAAAATCGGGGCGTTACAGCAGGGCGGCCAACGGATGGGGACGAGGCCGGCGACGGGCGACGCGAGGCCTCTCCACCTCCTCCGCCGAGGACATCGCCATCGCCCTCCACTTATTCCCAACGCCACCGCCGCCGCCACCACGACGCCCATGCTACCGCCGCCTCATCCACCTACCTCTCCGACGCCGCCGCACATCTACCGCCTCCCCCCTCACCAAGAGCCTGGAAATTGAGGTCGCCGTCAAGAAGCCCACCGCTTCATCACCTCCGATAGCAGCGCCGCGGTGAGGCAAGCCGGAGGCCGCTCCACCTAGCGAAGGAGGCGATAGAGGGAGCAAGGGGCCCACGTTTTTGGATCTTGGGGATGGAGTCGGTGAAAGAGCAGCGGTCCACTTCGTCGTCGACCTCGCCGCCGGCATCGAGCTGTTCTCCCTGCCACTCGTGGTTCCGCCAGGACGTGAGCCGGCCGCCAACGCCCTCCTCTGCGCGCCCACGCCTGTGGCCTCCGCAACCGCCACGGTCGCCGATACCCGACGCCCTCTTCCGCATACCCATGCCTGCGGCCTCTGCAACCGTCACGACGCCCGTTGCCGGCCTCCTCCCAATCCGCTGGCCGCCCTACCAGACAAGAGAGAGAGAGAGAGAGGAGGAAGGGAGAGAAGAGGGGAGATAGAAGGTGATGACGTGACCACCCTAACATGTGGGGCCCATGTGAGTCCACGTTGACTCAGCTGTCACGTCGGATAAAATCGGAGTCAAAACCACCAAAGACCTAAAGTAAACGGTTTTGTAAGTTGAGAGATGTAATATATCTGGTTTTACAGTTGGGGGACGATTTTATAACTCAATGACAAGTTGAGGGACCTTCGGTGCACTTTTTCCTCTCTACTCTATCTGCTCCTTGCAATCTTCTGCTTATTATTCGCTGTACTTTTAGCTGTAGTTGGTGTAGCTGTAACTAGTTTTTTCGTGCGTTTTGCGTGGTGTGCGATCCGAGCGCGCGTGTTCGTGGAATCGTGTGGTGTTCCAGCGCCACGATCAGGACGTGTGGGAATAATTGGGATGGCACACCTAACACCTTCTATTCGATCTATTATATCTATCGCAAATTCTGATCAATGAAGAAGAACCTTGCCGTTTCATATATCACCATCTTGTGTTGCTGATACTGTATATTCACCATATCACCTTGCATGCGTTTGATATTTTTTTTTTTCACGAACGCGCAAAAGTATGGTACGTCAATATATTAGAAGAAAAAGAATTTTGTCACACAACACAATCAGCCAGACTGGGTTATGCCCAGGAAAGAGGAAAAAACAAAAACAAAAACTGAAGCTTAGTAACTACTACGGTGACCAACCGTAACTCCAAAGAGCGGGAAGGAATAAAACCATGCTACACTCTCAGTAAAACCCCAAAAGCGGTAACCCCATCTAAAAACCACATATGACCCTCCGAGAAAATGGACTCCAGAATCACTGAGACTGAAGAGAGCGCCGAGTCGAAGACCCTAGAGTTGCGTTCCTTCCATAGCTGCCAAGAGATTAGGAGTACCAGGAAGTCAAAATCAATGCGGAGATGCTTAGACAAGCAGGCCCTGGAGGAAGGCCACCAGTCCTGGAACCAACTGCCACGGGGAGAGAAAGGGTAGCCCAGCCAGGAGGTGATAGCACACGGAGCCAGACCTGCCGAGTGAATACGCAGTCAAGGAGAATGTGGTTTGCTGTCTCAAGCTCTTGAGCGCAAAAGGGGCAGGCTGAGTGGCTATCAATGCCACTTTTTGGAGGAGATCGGCCGTCCAACAGCGCTGCTGAAATGCAAACCAAAGAAAGAACTTGCATTTAGCAGGACCCTTCGCGTGCCAGAGAAGATTAGTACATGCAAAAGAGTGCTGCCCGTAGAAGAACGCCTGGTACGCCGAACGCGCCGAGTAGCGCTGGTCACTCGTCCAACGCCAAACAAGATGATCCCTGGCGCCCGGAGAGAGCTGAATATGATGCACCGCATCCCAAATAAGAAGAAACTAGGAGATGACCGGGACAGTAAGAGTGCCGCGGATATTAGAAACCCAGGAGTCGTTCGCCAGGCCAGAAACAACCGTGCGTGAACCTCGGAGGTGTTGGGGCACGGTGAAGAGAAGATCTAGAGCCAAGGAGGCCACTGAGCGGTCACCGATCCATCGTTCAGACCTGAAGAGCATCGACTCACCATCGCCCGGCACGAAGAAGGTGGACGCCTCGAACATGTCAGAGACGGTCCGCTCGGCTGGGGCTTTCAGGCCATCTCAGTAGGGGTGTCCTGAGCGCTAAAGCCAGAGTCAGCGACCCCTCCGGATATGTTGTAGCGTTCGATAGTAGCGTTCGCCGGATATGTTGTCCATCCACTTGTAATCAGCATGCCAATCAGATTAACCAGCACTACTGCACTAACAGTGCCACTTTCTTGTGGTCGATCTCCTCCGACCCTGCTCCTTCAAGTTGGAACTTAGAGTGGTCACACGTCTGTAAACTCTATCCGGCTGGTACATCATATCACATGTCTGATGAGCACATCTCAAATGTAGAAGAAACAACTGAAGCCCACGCTGCTCAACTAATTAAGGATGAGGCTGCTCCACTGCCAATTGACATGCATGTTCTGATGCGTGCGTGCAGGGAGATCGATCTCCACATCCATATCAATTGTGACAAATTAATTAACATCTAATACAAGAAGGAATCTTTCGTTCCATCCACCAGGGCTTGATTCTTCAGAGCAAATCCGACCAAGAGAATTTTGATTCTTGTGCTCGCTTGCTACGGCAAGGCTCTTGTTAATTTGTTTACTGTGGCACTCTGCACTGTATGCACGCCATATGGATCGATGATCACGAAATGTTCTATTCTCTCGTCTCAAGCCGAATATATATATATATATATATATATATATAGGACACTCATATGGGGCACCATGGTGCCCGGGCACCATGATATCAAATACACAAAATCACTCAAATTTATATATATATATATATATATATATATATATAATGTTCTCCCAACTGGAAAAGGGAGGCGTTGGGATGAATTCAGAATTCAGAGCAATAAGAAGAAAAAAACAGTTTCCAAAGCAACAGATCAGAGCAGTTTACATAGGAAAAATGGAGTAGCTATATTTATATGACGCCATATTTTTTATAAAAAATATTTATCATGTATTTACATTGTAAGTCCCTAAATTATATATGTAAATTTAGTGTATTTACAGTGTAAGTTTCAAAATTTACATATGTAAGTTTTAAAATTATATAGTAATTATATGTGTAAGTGGGGTGTAACTACACTGTAAATTTGTATAAATGTATAATTGCAACAACAAATAAAGTTGTTTAGCACACCTAAATGTACGCATGCACGAATCATATGGAAATCAAACGGTCAAATCTGACTGAAATCAAACAAAAAAATGTGTCATCACAAAGGCACAAATCTAGCAAAACCCTAGGAAAAAACTATAGTAGGATGAATTCAGAACAGGAAAAAAAATAGTTTCCATAGCAACAGATCAGAGCAGTTTACATAGGAAAAAATCATAATAGGATGAATTCAGAATAGGGAAAAAAATTTAACCATAGTAGGATAAATTCAGAACAGGGAAAAAAACAAGGAAAAAACAGTCTTGATAGCAACAGATCAGAGCAGTTTACATAGGAAAAAACCATAGTAGGATGAATTCAGAACAGAAAAAATTTTTAACCATATAGTAGGATGAATCCAGATCAGGGGAAAAAAAAACAGTTTCGATAGCAACATATCAGTTTACATAGGAAAAAGGCATACAACACGGAAATTTTTTTAAAAAAAGGGGTGTTGCGAGAATCGAACTCGCGACCTCTCGCACCCGAAGCGAGAATCATACCACTAGACCAAACACCCTTTCTGGAAATAAGTTTATATAAATTTTACTTGTACTATTTACTTTTGCAGCCTATTATTTCTATCGTAATTCCAACGTGAATATCATGGATGCATGTCGCTAGCTAGCTGTGGCTGTGCGTGGGGAGATAATTGAGTTGAAGATGTACAGGAGATCGATCGAAGAGATGATTGATCGATGAGAACCCGTGATGAGAGAGGTATAATTAGTATTTGGAAGGACGCACAGCTCAGAGCTCACGAGACCTAGAAAGCTCATGCGGACCAATTACAGCAAAACACCATATGGATGTATGGATTTTTAATTTGTTCTTGTCATGTACAAGTAGATCGATCATGCTGCATGAATATATATGCATCTATATATGGGATGGCAGAATCGATGCGTACGCCTGCAGAGACGCGTTTGCGTCGCACACAAGCATCCCAAATGCAAGCATGCATCATTTCGATCGCTTTTAATAATTAATTTGACGCCTCCAATTCTGAAACTTAAACTAATTTTCATTAGCTAGGATACAGTATGTATATAGTATAATGCATACATGGAAAGAGATGAAATAATAATACAAGCTAGCTTTGAGCACTGATAATTAATAAGTGATGACAAGTTTGGCCGGGGTGTAGCAAGCAAACACGCGCGTGCAAGCAGTCACTATATGTTTGACCAACCCATCGTTCTCATCAGTATACGTACGTACGTTAATCATTTGCTGTGACTCTGTACTGCTTGACTGAACAACACTAACGCATCGATTGATCGATCAGATGTATATGTATTTCTGTGGAGCTAGGCATCAGAACACGTCAGGTTAGGCCGGGTGACATGGTCTCCCCGGCATAAGAGATAGCACTAGAAAACACATTGATCTGATGGCTAATTTGTCTCTTAATTTGTATACATGTTGTGTAACAAGCTAGACGTACGCGTTTGATGTGTATATATTGATTAATCTATCAGTTTGTTGCATTGGCTAATAGCTGCCTGACGCGGTTGGACTGATCAAGCTAATCAGTACGTGCCGGATAAAAGGATTAAAGGCGTGTTTGACGTACACATTTACGTGATCTGGATAAAGAAAATGACTGGAGCTAGCTTGATCAGGATAATATACAACATATAAGCAGAGTGATTTGCAGGTTTCCAACACGTACGATATTCGATATACTCCAGCCGTTTCTAAATATTTAACACCGTTGACTTTTTTAAACATGTTTAACCGTTCATCTTATTAAAAAAATTAATTTTATTAATTTTTTTTCCTATCATTTGATTCATTGTTAAATATACTTTTATGTATACATATAGTGTTACATATTTCACAAAAGTTTTTAATAAGATTTACGGTCAAACATGTGCTTAAAAAGTCAATGGTGTCAAATATTTAGGGATGAAGGGAGTATTTATCAAGCTAATTAAATATATATGTAAACTGTAAGTAAGTATAGCTATATATAGCTAGCTGAGACGTTCAGGGGCGGAGCTAGTGTGGTGTCACAGGACACCAATAATCTCCATATTAGTCTAAGTACCCTTCTAATTTTTCAATGAGTGACACCAATAAATCTTACTTTGTGACATCAATGTGTGAATAATTTTGCACTTTCGTTAGACAAGTTTAGCTTATGTGGACAAGAACAACTACATAGTAGCAACAAATTAACTGCTAGCAAACTATAATTTATAGTTATTTGACCATGCACAATGGCTAATTCAACGAGACTATGCACAACGGCTAAATAAAGTTCATGCATCATAAGTTTTCTTGAGTGATTAGGTGAAACATACTCCCTCCATCCCAAAATAAGTTGATTTGTAGGTTTCTATGTCCAACCTTGAACCGTCTGTTTTATATAAATTTTTTTTATGATTATTATTTTTATTTTTATTAGATGATAAAACATGAATAATACTTTATGTGTGACTTATCTTTTCAAATTTTTCATCTTTTTAATTTTTTTCATATTTTTTCAAATAAAACGGACGGTCAAAGGTTATATACGAAAACCCACGAATCAACTTATTTTGGGTCTGAGGGAGTAAGCAACCACTACTATTGTGAGGAATTTCTTATAATTTTCATATGTATTATTGTTTCACTTAAACTGTGATCGTCAATTATAGTTTACGAATGACACCATCCATCTAAGATACAGGCTCCGCCCCTAGAGACGTTTCTTGCTTGTACTCAATCTCTATTACTTAGAGTGGATGATCGACCCTCTTGGTATCAAAATAAAATAGTAAGGAACGTGTGCATACAGAACAAAACGAAGAAGGCAAAGAGACAAGGAAAAACAAGCTAGAGTATTAGTTTTGTCTTAGGATCCATCCTCAGGCTGTCAGGCAACACCAGTGCAGAAACGATAATGCATGTGCACCCCAACGTACAATTGCAATAATCAATACGTACGACAAAGCAAAGTACTGTACTGCCCACTTACGGTATATATCATCATGCATATCATCACTCATCATATTTCAGCTAGTGCCCCCTCGTATATATATAATGACCATGCGAGCTTGTGATTGATCGATCTATATATGATCGAGATGCCCCTTACAAAGTAGCTAGCAGCTGGTCTCTCTCTTGATTTGTGTTTCCGGAGAAAGAGAGAGATCGGGGTCGAGATCGAGGGAGAGATGTCAGGGAAGGATCAGAAGAAAGCAACAACAGCTTTAGAAGAGAAGCTCGAGCTCCTACGTGATGTTACAAAGTCAAGTGCGGTATGTAATTTAACTTAATTTGTATCCATGTTATTATTATTGTTATTATATATGTTTCGGTATCTCCATATCAATTTGAGAATAAGATGAGCTATATTAACTTATATCTACATTGGTTACTTCTAATTTTCCTATTGCAAAAATCGATCTTTTTTCAATGCATCCTCACCTATCTTTTCTCCTAAACTGGAATTTTATAAAGACCGAGCTTAAAACCTAAAACATTAACGACCATCATCCTCCTACGATGGCTTATTACATCGATCTTATGCACCATTTCATATCCGATTTCGGTTTCTAAACCAGCAGTGATTTCCATGCATGTATCAGTGTCGGTTCACTCCCATCCACCGGCAGCGATACTGGCCTGGGCCACACATACTACTGGTTAAAAACTTGTGCGCTTCCAGTTATGAATCGTTAGTGATAGAATTTTCTGTAGCAGTGAGAGTTTAATTACAATTTTCTGTAGCAGTGAATGTATGATTATGTGCAGGCAAACGAGACATCAATCCTTGTAGATGCGTCCAAGTACATCAAAGAGCTCAAGGACAAGGTATCTCAGGAGCCTGAACAGCTGGGCAGCACTAGCAGTTCCATGCCAATGCCAAGAGTATGTGCATCGCATTGTTACTTGTCCCTCTCTCTGTATAATTTGTAAGCTAGGACGCATGCATACAATGATACAAAGTGTATATGGGTAAACAAGTACAATATGTGCTAATACATCTATTATAAATATTCAAACTTTTAAATTTTCACCAACAATTTACATCAAAACAAATTTATGAAATCTAATAATTAAGTTTATGATATTATGATAGTATTTTAAGCAAATATATCCATACCTTTAAATAAGTTACTAAGCCTTCGAGGACTATTGATTTGGTTATGATTTATCCAAATTTTATTTTAAACGTGAAATATTTGTGACTGAAGTGAGTACAGCAATAATGCAAGTCTATTTAGTTTTCCTTAAAAAAAAGGCAAATATATATAGTGCTAATTAACACAAGTCTTCTGTCACACCCCAATCTGGCACCGCTGTACAACGGCACCTGATAGGAGCGTGTCGTAGGAAAAACGGCGCGAACTGCTTCCTACGAAACCGCGATCTCAGTACCAGTCCCAGGACATAGCGCTGGTACCCACGGTGACAAATATGAATCATTGCGAACCTTAAAATAAATAGAGGACTTATTTACCTTATCTTAGGTTGCAGCTCAGAACAGCCTGAGAATACAACCGACGACACGGACGAGGAAACACCAACAGCAGCATCAGCAGCGGAACCAACGGTCTAACACCCAACACCACAGGCGACGGCTGGGAACCAGGACGAAACCCTAACCTTCACTTCACTTCATCTTCACTTCCAGGCGGAGGAACTATATATATATAGAGAGAGAGAGCAAGGGTGAGTACTTTCGTACTCAGCAAGTCACGGGAACTTAGGTGTTTCATGCAAGCTTGGAAGAGAGGCAAGGTTGTTTTGCAAATCCTTTGTTTGAAATCAGTTTGAAATCACTAAGTGATTTATTTCTTTCTAAGTTTGGGCCGAAAAGAGACTTGCGTCTCGATTCGACCTTAAGAGATGTTTTTCAACAACTCAATTGGTAATGTACCGACCTCCCAGGTTAGATCATTACTTCTCAGCTCCCAGAGTCATTTCACTTGTTTAAGCGGCTCCCAGAGCCTTTTTCATTATCTCGGACTCCTAGAGTCTTGCTGCCCAGCAGCACCACAATCCGCTTCCACTCGGGAAGCCTAGTCTATGATGCCCGCAGACATCCCGAATCACACAGATTCGTTTCTGACCACTCAGGTCATCCATCTGCCACATAGGCTGATTCTGGTTACGATTCCCATACCACAACACTTTTCATAAAGCACAGGCAAACAAATCTACGCAACGGGAAACACCTCACATCCGCCCATGACCGTGGGCATGGCTGTTCGAACAGTTGGTTAACCTCTGCAGAGGGGTACACTTTACCCACACAACGCGAACTTGCTCCCATCGCCTAACCCGTGTTCATGACGCACGGTTGGAAAAAGGAGATTCACGACAAGGCATTTCCAAAGCTAACTCTGGGTCACCTCATGCCACATAGAGGGTCTCCCTGACCAACATCAGGCCAACTCCAACTTTCCTTTTAGGACTCCTGGGTGCCTTCCTCTGTTTCGGACTCCCAGGATGCCTCTACCGCCACATCCCGGCTTTCCGCCTCTATTGGCATACAAGATTTCCCAAAAGCAGCTAATTACTTAGCCAGGGTGTCCCATACCACCATGTGGTTGCACTTGTTATGCTTGATGAATTTCCCACAGAAATCGGTCCTTATATGCGAATACGGGACGGCGCCACCCAGGCACAACACCCGCATCGCGAGTTTTCACAATTCATTTTATTTTCAAACACACCGACACCACATGTCGGGTTTTCAAGGCTTCTCAAACCCATTTCCCAAATTTTCGACAATCAACGGTGTATGTGGGATATTTGGTATACGTGCTCAGAGAGCACGGATACCGAGGTACCACAAGGGTGGAGCGACAAGGAATCAGGGTAGTACAACCTACAGGAATTAGTGCGACTACTGGGTAGGTCCGTCGGTTTGGCACGCAAACCGAGGCCAAGCAAGTTAAATGTGTGATTCTAATAATGCAAGTTGCAAACAAAATAATAATGATTATCCAATTATAGGAGTAATTGATCAAAGGGTGACTTGCCTTGCTCAAGGTCTTCAAGGAGCTTCATGAATCTTCGAGAAAACCCGCGATCGACGAAAAATCCGGTAACCGCGACTATACGCAAACAATTAAAACCTAAACAAAAGACCAAAGGAAAAACCCTATTTAGACTAATTAATAGTGCCATTAGATAGATCTCAATTTTAGAGGGTTACTGGAAGTGGAACGGAGTCAATCGGAATTACGGATCGAGAGATATGAATTTTGGAAGCTCGAATGGGATTCTCCGGACTAGGAAATGATTTATCGGGATTTTTTGGAATACGAGAAATGGTTTATGGAATTTGTAGAAATAATATTCTCAAGACTATTATTGATAGTCACTGACGTACGGGACCAAAGGAAGGGATTTATGGAATAAAGGATTGATTTATGGAACAAGGGAAAAAGGATTTAATAATTTATCAAACCCTTTTTTGGAAGAATTTGAGGGAGGGACCGGATTTAGACTTTCCCGAGCGGCTTGGCGCGGCCCGAGAGGATTTGCGCGGCTCCGCCGAACCAAATGGGCCAGCGCGGGCGCGAGGAGGCAGCCCATTAGGGGCGCGCGGGAGAGAGGGAGCGGTCCGGTGGACCGGGCTCACCTCGCGGGGTCTCGAGTGGGGCCCGCTTGTCGGTGGCACGGCTCACCGTGGGAGCGGTGCATGCGGCGCGACGCTAGGGTTTGGGGGAGGACGTGGTGCACGCGCGGCGCGCGGGTGGACGGGGCTAGCGGCGGGCCCACGCGCAGCCGCTCGGCTCACCGTGGACCGCGCGCGCGAGGGGGGACGGAGGGAGGCGGCTGACCGGGGTCAGCTTGACCCGGTCCATGCCGAGGTGGCGCCGACGTGGTGCCTTCGTGGCAGCCACGCGGGCCGGCGGGAGGAGGAAGAAGGGAGGGGGCGAGATAGACGGCGGACGGCGGTGGCGTTCACCGGAGCAAGGCGCGACCTCAACGGGAAAAGGAAGCACACCGGGGGGGGTGGAAGGGACGAGAGGAAGCGAGCCGACGGCTCGGATTCGCCGGAGGGAGGCCGGCGACGACGAATCGCGGCGGCGCACACCGGGGGCGAGAAAAAGGGAAAACGGCGGAGGGGCGACGAGGAATCGATTCAAGACGACGAGAGCATCTCCGAGGAGCAAGGAATTCATTTCCGGTTCCGGATTGGACGGAGCGGTGCCGTGGTGGCCTTCGGGAGCGGGCGGCAATGGCGGAGAGGCCATGCCGGGTGGCGGCGGGGCTTGGGGCGGCGTCCGTGCGTGTTCGAGAGGCTAGCCGAGCTACCACACGAGCTATTGAGGGAGAGGGCGAGCGAGAAGGGAGAACGGAGGGTGGCACTACCAAGCCGGGACGGGCGCAGTGACGAGCGGCCGATGGCGCGGGAGCGAGCTCTCCGGCCTCGGGCCCGGGAAGGGGAAGGAGACGGCGCCCGGAGTCCCGCGCCTGCTCCTCGCGCGCACGCCGGCTTCACTAGCACGCGTGACGGCGGAGGGAGGAGAGGACGGCGGTAGCAAGGCGGCAAAGGCACGGCAGGGCGAAAACGAGAGAGATAGAGAGGAGGGGCTCGGCTGCGGTTTTATAGATGGCAATGTCGGTTTGGGGAGGAAGAACCGACATTGGTGGTCAAGGAGGAGGAGTTGCGGTCGTCGGTACATGCGGCCAAGCGGTGGCAGGGTTGACGATGGCGCCGGTTGGGGAAGAGGCAAAAAGGGGAGGGAAAGGAGCTTTGCTCCCTTGCCAATTTGGGGAGGGAGAGGGATGGGAGCGGGAGCTCGGCCTCACCGGTTTGGACGGGCGCGGGTGGAGCGGCGCGGGTACGCGCGCTGGCTCGCGGGGCAGGGCGCGGCGCAGGCGGCGCAGCGCGGCAAGGCGCGGGGCCGGGCGGCACAGGCACGGGTAGTAGGCAGCTGACGACGGCGGCGACCGCGCGGGCGCGCGCGCGAAGCAACGGCACGCGGGTTCGAATTTGCGGGCGGGGAGCTTGCCGGGGAGGGAGACGTGGAGAGGGAAAGTGAGAGAACGGGAGAGAGAGAGGGAGCGAGCGCTCGGCTTGGCTCACGCGCACGCGCGTGCGGCGCACGAGCAGAGCGAGGGAGGGGAGAGCTGAGGGAGAGAAAGAGCGAGCCGGGAGAGAGAGATGGGCCGAGGAGGGAATTCGGCCCACCGAATCTGAGGGAGGCGAACTAGACTTTTGCTGAAAGATTGATTTGGAGAAGATTTAGGGTTTGGAGTTGGAATTGAATAGGAATTGGAATAATTTGGATTCGGAGGAGTATTTGGCGAGGATTCAAAGGAAGGATTTGAATTTCAGAATTTGATTTCGGGAATTGAATTGGAAGAGGAACTTTGATGAGGTGGTGAATTTTCATTTTGGTGAGAGGGGACAAGGAGATTTAAACTGAGATCCACGGCACGACTTAGACTCACACTGAAAGATCAAATTTTTCGCAATTAGGATTTTGCCGAAATAGTTTTTAACGTCTCGCGAAAAGCGGAGCGTTACATCTTCACCAATGAAGCAAGCGAATTTCTGAAGAATATAGCTTTGGATCTTCAGCAAAGGAGACCGCTTCCGAGCAAGTCGGGTGGCCGGGCCTGGGCTGCACCGCTACCATCTTTACTACGGATAGCTGTTGACGTCCATAAAAATCAATCCATCACTGAAAAACGCTATTAGTCGTCTGGACTCGACGGTGGGTCTAGTTCCGCAACTAATTCTCTTGATACTTTAAGTTTCGAATTGTAGCTCATTGAGCATAAAATGTGTCGGGAAAAAAAACATAATGCCGTATTGAACACGTATGGATGTATGCAGGTCAGTGTTTCATCGGTAGAGCTAGAGAAGAAGATAGGTTTTCGAATCAATGTGTCAATGGAGAAGAGTCAGCCTGAGTTGCTGACGTCGGTGTTAGAAGCATTCGAGGAGCTTGGCCTCGACGTCCTTGATGCTGACGTGTCGTGCGCAGACGACACCGCTTTTCGTCTTGAAGCGCTTGGATCCAGCCAAGTACGTGCCACTAATTATTTATCGATAGATCAAGTTATTTCGTTGATTAATTTGGCTGATTAAGCCGGCCCTTTCTTGTGACAACGGAAGAATATTTATACTTAAATTAAATCTTTGGTGAATTATTTATTAGTACTTACTTGTTGTATTTACAGAGTGAAGCTGCAGAGACAAGCGTGGATGAGCAAATGGTTCGTCATGCAGTGCTGCAAGCCATCAAGAAATGCATTGACGGATCATCAATTTGATCCAGAATGAATTTTATGTTTCGACTTAAATTCTCATCTGCCGTAGCGCAAACTTATTGTGATGATACTAAATATATCTATATTTTCAGTTAATTTTGTTGTAAAAATTAGCTATCTTTTGGTGCTGAATGAACAAGGGCGGCGTTTAATTTGTCGTTTAAATATTCGTGCAAAGAAACTAATATAAATTGCATATATTGATCACATTAATCTTCCAGAGATGCATGTACTATCATTTACACGTATACATCGCACGTCGTCTAACTAAATTCTAAATCAACGAAGGAAAAAAAAAGAATATTAAGGCGTCTTGGCGGGTAAGCTTTTATTGGCGAGAAGTGTGCGGGTGATCTGGACGCAGAGGGCGGCGTTCCTGACGGCGAACTCCTCGTACTCCGGCGAGAACACCACCTCCTCCGCGTGCTCCACCACCGTCCCCATGGCGCGCTCCTTCAGCGCCGCGCTCGAGCTCAGCTCCGCCACCTCCAGCGTCCGCAGCACGTTGCCCGCCTCCACCCCCGCCGCCAGCCGCGCCTCGCAAGCTCGCCGGAGGAACGGCACGTCGTACTTGTCGCCGGCGACCAGCAGCGCGTGCAGGTGCCGCTCCTCCGCGCACGTCGCCAGGGAGCCCGTGTAGAGGAAGGCGAGGAGGTGGGAGAGCTCGTCGTGGGTCAGCTCCGGTAGCGACAGAGAGTCGCCGGCGGGGGCCTTGCAGTCGTCGTCGCCGGCGAGGATGTGCCGGAACACCTCCGACCTGGTCGCCTGTATATAGCTGGGCCTAATTAGTTTCATTGGGCCGAATCAAACTAAAAGAAGGCCGGCCTATTAGGCTGAAATTGAGGGAGAGAGAGACTGACAAGGATGGCCTTGTGGGCTTGGATTGGAGGCCCAGTTCCAGGCCTGATGGCGATGTCGGTGTGGATGCCGTCCTTCCACGCCGCCGCGAAGCCTTCCTGGAGAAACGATGCCCTCTGCTTGGTCTCCTCCTCTCTGCATCGCATCTGCTTCACCTCCTCCCACGCATCTCTCAATCCCTACATTGCGTAACACGCACAAATGTTAGCACCATGATGCTGATTAGTGTAGTATGTCCCATGCACCCCCACCAAAAAAAAAAGCATTAATCTGTGATTGTTCAGAATTAATTCTTTCTGAAGATTAGCATAACAACTTGTCCAAGGCATGCACCTTTATTTCCTCATTCCAGCTATTGCAATCAAGGAGAATCTTATGTATGTCATGCCGGTTTGGTTTTTTAATAAAAAAAAGATAACATCAGCTGTTGAAGCACACTAGTATATAAAATACAGCTTCTGAAAACGGGCTTTAAGCATCGATCAATCATGAACCTTTTGACAATGAGATTTCCACCAAACCTATCATTCTCATGCAGCTCTCGATTGAGACTTGCTCCTCACCATTAACCAACACAACGTTGACAGCAAACCTGACGCATGCGTCAATGAAACTGAATGATGTAACCAATGCAACAAGAGTTTATATTCATTACATGCGACATGGAATTCCTTTTTATCAATTCATTCTCTTCCGAAATTGCTCTGCTCCTAGAATCTAGAAACACGCAAGGAAAGATTTTTCATGGAAGCAGAGCACACGGCACAATTGAGAATTTGAGATGGTTGTAAACCGAACATACCAATCCTAAAGGACTAATAAAGGAGCAAAATGAGATATGAGAAGGTCTTACCTTGATTGTGCTATTGAGCTTTGTCAATCTGCTGGGCTTCACCGAGCCTTGATCAGCATCGGCGTGCTCGTCGTCGTCGTCGTTGAAGAAGGCGATGATGGCCTTGGCACCTTCATAGCACGCAGCGCAGATGGCGTTCCTTGGAAGCCTGTACATGGACGCCATGGGACTGCACACGCAGCAATCCATTGTTTCTTCTCGCCTTCTCCTTCTCCTGCTGCTCCTGCTGCTGCCTTCTGCCTTCTTTTCCTTCTTCCTTCTCCTTGTGGCTAGGCAACGACGTGAACAGCAACGCTAGCATTGTGTTTTTGAGCTGTGGTGAGGCTATAAAAACGAATGCTTGGGACGACAGGGGGATAGAGAGGAGGATGGTGTGTTGGCTATTTCGTTTGCAGGGACTAATGTATTGTAATGAGTGGTGGTTGCTAACTAAGACAACCAGGGGAATTAAAATTCTCCTGCTCTCTCTTTCTTCAGTACACGTTTGTTCTCCACAGAGAGAAAAAAAAAGATATGCAAAATGTGCAACTCATGAATGTAGTAGGTACATTTAGCACTTTTTTGTTTCAGTACATTGACTAAAATGGCCTTACGTCCTTTTACAAAATGAAGTGCATATTAATGTACAGTGAACAGTCATTCATAACATTCAAGTTGGGTCCTAATCCTACAGGACTAAGAGAATGCCTTGTCAATAAAGTTAGAGAAAGCATGGGATTTCCTTTTAATGGAACGCAACGTACAATTGTCTATTTAGGCCAAGGCCAACTACCGTTTACCAAAAACAGTCTGTTCATAGAATGTAGAGATTAAATTTTACTTAAGAATTACTAGCGATGCAAATAAATATGGGAGCAGTAGTAGCAGAGTCATTGATCAATATAATGTCAAAGACTCAAAGTGCTGTCTCTTTATACTTAGTGGTTTCTTTTCAGTTCATGAATCTTCATCTTGCAACTTGTTTGAAAATGAAAAGAACAAAACAATGTGATATGTTTTAAAAAATTTTAAGATAATGGAAGCTTTATTATGACTCAGTCAAATAACACCAAGATGATACATTTCAACCGAGCCCACCCCGGCCTCTGCATAAAATACACACAGCTAATAAAAGGATAAAACTAAATCCCCATCACAAAACATAGGTATTAGTGACTATCAATCCGTAGACTAGATCGTCATCCATGCTCTTGGGTAAAAGCATCCCGTGCCACCTGGTGCAAACGTCGAGATACCACCACAATAGTATCCCGCAATCCCGGTTTGTGGAGGATAGCCCAGATACGTAGCTATAGAGTAACTATAGTAATAACCTATGTTTTGAAAATTTTTGGCATGATATTTTGTTATGCATTTCCTTGCGAGAAAAAAAAACTGTGATATGTTTAATTTTGAAAAAAAATAAGGCATGAAAAGTTGCTGTCCTATGCGTTTTCTCGCAAGAAAACTCTGTTTTAAAATGAATACTATGCATATTACCAAGGAAAGGAACACATGACCAATATAGTTGAGGGGACAATACTGTCTTTTCCTCTCAAGATATAAGTAGACCTCAGAAGAACATAATCTGAAATTAACTCAGACAAAATGATGAATTCATGATTATATAATGCGTGAAGGAATCATAGGGAGAAGGTTGATAAGGACTTTCCAACCTTATAAGAGACTTTAGGTAGGAAGTAGGAGTTGGCCGGAGGCATGGAGGGTGGCACGGCCTTGGCTAATGTGTTAACAAGCTAACCACTTCCCTCCCACTCCTCACCCAACGGCCTGTGTTTGATACTATAACAAAGCATGATATACCAGAAAACTAGATATGATGATTTAAACAATCCATTTTGCTGCTAAGAGCAGAAGCTGGAAGGATGTTCCTGGCTTCCTGCAATTACTGTCTCAGGATGAGCTAGCAAGCTATAAGCCTATAACAGTACAAGTAGTAACATAGTATATTAAGCTAGCTTTTCAAAATGTTTTTACTGTAGGCCTTCTTAATAATTTGATTGTAGCAGGAACAAAAATATGCATGAGGAATAGACAGTCCTGGGATTACAGAAGGTCTACACTAGTCACTAGTGGGAAATTAAGGCAGTCCTGCTCGCTCCTGCAATTTGTGTTGATAAAAAATGAAAAGGGTGAAGACAAATTTGGCGGGAGATCAACGTCGGGGAATGGATATATATGTTGGTTGGCACATAATAATCCATCATATATATCCTCTCCATGATTGGCCTAGTGTAGTTGTGGAGTCAATCAATGAAATGGATGGATGGAAGCATCTCATTCTCATTAGCAAGCTTATTAAGGATGCCTCCATTTATCCTCTCTTCAAGAGCATTCTTAAAATACGGAGAGCACATTAATTGTTCTGCATATATTCAGGTTATATATATTTTCTGCATATGCTGAGGTTTAATTCCTTGACAACAATTTTTTTGGGATCTCATTCTGATTGAAAAGCAAGGTATCGGACCAGAAGCAGAGGCCTCACGGTTACCTGGGCCAGGCGTCTGTATGTCTCATGGGCCTTAGCCCATGGCCTAAAGACGCCTGCCAATAATCGCTAACTAAAACATTTTATTTTATTATTTATTATTAAATAAATCATGTGTTGAACAATTAGCGGAACTTGTGACAGACCATGTAGTAGTCCTTGTAGAGTAGTGCTGACTTGTTGATCCTAACAGCATGGCTTGACTCCAAGCCGGACTATTATTGATAACAAAACGGAAGATTGGTAGGAGTAATAATAAAATGTCACGATTACTGAATCTGAATGACGCCCTTCTCAACAGAACGTTGGCAGTTAATCCGTAACCTTAGGTTGAGCATATACTCATTTTTAGTGCATCTTTTAGAGATCAATTTATATGGAGGAACAAATAAGCATACCACTGACATCAATTGTAATCAAGGCATCGGAAAAGCAGGGTCCGGATGGAATGGAATGGATAATTACATAGTACAGAGCAGAGGATGGGTTGGAGTGGATAAGACCATCCTAGGTGGATGGATTAGGAGGAGGACATACTCTATTATTAAGATAAGATAAAACTAATGGAGCCGATTAGATTATTACTAATTGATCATCGTGATCGTCATCATCTTCATTTGTCTGCATCTTGCAGCAGGAAGGAAGGGTAGCACTACCAGCTCCACCTCTCGTTCTCCTGGCCGTCGTCGGTGGTGGCCGGCGGCAGCTGCGAGTAGAAGTCGTAGTCCAAGCTGCTGCTGTTGTTGGTGTTGGATGATGGGTTGTAGTAGTGGTGCGCAAGGGCGGCTCCACCGAGGACGGCGAGGGTGAGGGCCTGCGCGTGAAGCCTGGCGTGGATCAGCCGCATCTGCGGCGTCTTCCTCCGCCCGTACGCCACCGATGCGCCCACCGCCGTCGCCCACAGCCCTCCTGAATACACGAATGTTCAGAAAGGATTGACTGATTAAGGAGTACTGTAGAGATGAAGGAATTGGATTGAATCAGAAAGGGGATCGATTCGATGGATTACCGATGCTGGCCAGCTTGTGTTCCTCCACCCACGACTGCACCGATGAGCTCAGCCGCTCCATCTTCTTGATGATTTTCGACGACTCTGAATCTGAGGATGTGATCTGGGAGTGAGACTGTGAGTGATGAGAAATGGGATGCTATCGCATCGAATTTATAGGAACAGCCCCAACACACAAAAACAAAACCGTCAGCAAACACATAGTACCACTGAAACCAGTGGCCGGGCCACCTGCTTCTTGTGGGCCGCCGTTTCTTTGCTACAAGGCTCCCAAGGTTGTCGGTTTTGCTTGCTCCCAACAGTTGGCTCTATCGGTTTTGGACTCTTTGGTCTTCCTTGTCTGTTGGCTACTCACATGGTTTCTTCTCTTCTCTTCTCTTGCCAAGGCATCTGCCTCGTTCATGTTTGCCTTGCATGTTTCACAACTATTGTGTTGTTTCTTACTAGTAGTAACAAGTAAAAGGCCCAGTCAATAGTCATTGTATTTTACATTTGCTGAGGCTTGCTTATTTCACACAGGAACATGATGATTTTTTTTCTACAAAAAGAAAAATTCATAAGACTTCAATGGCAAAACAGATCATTAAAAAACATGAAAATTAATGTAGGAATAGCCGTTTGGATAGCCACTAATAAAACACTAAAATTTGAGAAGGGAAAGATAGATAGATACCACAAATAAAATTCCCTTGAGATCAGGTCTTTAATTTTTATTGAATGAGGCATTTCATAGGAATTTCGTAGGATCATACCCATTCTTCATCGAAATGAATATATAGAAAAGTTAATGTAAGATTTAAAATCATGCAAAAGTCTCGTATTTTCTTGTTCAGAAACTCCCCTAGTCGAGAATGGCATCATGACAAATCCAAGTACAGAATAATATTTTAACCAAACCACATCATCAATTAATAAGACCCTGTTTAGATGTGACTAAAACTTTTAAGTCCCTATCACATATGATGTTTGGACACTAATTATAAATATTAAATGTAGACTATTAATAAAACCCATCCATATTCTTGGACTAATTCGCGAGACGAATCTATTGAGCCTAATTAATCCATGATTAGCCTATGTGATGCTACGGTAAACATTCTCTAATTATAGATTAATTAGGCTTAAAAAATTTGTCTCCCAAATTAGCTTTCATTTATGTAATTAGTTTTGTAAGTAGTCTATATTTAATACTCTAAATTAGTGTCTAAATACAGAGACTAAAGTTAAGTCCCTAGATCAAACACCACCTAACCCTCCTACCCATACCGTTTTCCTCACGTTTTTAGAGTTTTTTTTCTCCTCGAGAGGTTAACACGTAATTTTCTACGGTTTATTTTAATAATGCCATAATAGCATGGGGGCTGTGACAATTTGACAATAGTCCCACATAATTCCTCTGTACTGACCTTGTGGACAACAGAATTATTATTTAGATACTAGAGGGATCTAAGAATTCTTAAGAGGGTCTAATACACTACTACTTATTTATCTTAATTAATTAATTGGGCAATTCTATGTTGAAAAAATTGTTGGAGGGTCGTTCCCGTTTGTCTCTGCTATTAGCTGCACGTAGCCTTAGATATATTGGGTTCTCTCTCTTTCTCCCCCATTTCTCTTCATGGGAGCGAGTGCCGGATCATCAGCGGCAGCGGCGGACGCGGGCCAAAGCGGCGGCGGCCGGCGCATCCTCCAACCTCATCCCGTCCAGCGTTCACCCGACGTCGCCCGTCGCAAGGCTGGATATCGCTAGACAAGCGCTCGGGCGGCAGCCGCAGGAGGGTCCGCCCTCTGCGGCGCTGGCAAGCACTGTCAACTGCGCCGCTGGGAGTCGCCCTTGCTGCCCTCCTCCTTGCGCACTCATCTCCTTTGGCGTCTTCTCCCTCCCGGCCTCCGCCCCCAACGCCTCCACCACCGGGGCTGCTGACGACAACGATCCACCGTCAGTTGAAGAAGGAAGAAACAGGGAGAAAGAGAGAGATCGAGGAGGAAGAAGGAAGGAAAGAGGATGCCATTCCTATATTATTTTTGTGTGAATGATAAATGGGTCCTGCACATATTTTTTTAATTAATACACATAAGCGCCACATCAACTCCACGTAGAACGAAAACCGAGTCAACACTGTCACATCAGCGAAATCGCCCTACAAAACCTCTGAGGGAGCCAAACCGTTTCGGTTTTATAGTTGTGGGGCCAAAATATCCAGTATTGTGATTGAGAGATACTACGAATTAGATTCAGTCAATACTTAAGGAAGTCAAAGTGAACTTATTTCCGTGGCGTATATCCCTTATTTCGATGGGTGGGCTTGGGCTGACAAACAATCACACTCTCGGCCCAAAACTTGCATCTTTTCTTTGGAAAAAATTCCCCTTCTGGCTTCTTCTGCAATCTTCTTCTCCGACTCCGGCCACCGACCACCGCCCCTGCGTTCCCGCTCTACTCTTCCGCCGCCGCCGCCGTCAGCGTCAGCGACTCGACTCAGCGATGCGATGGAGCCGGCCGCTGCTACCACGACACCGCCGCCGTCGGAGAGGCACCGCAGCCCTAAGGTGAAGCGGCAGCGGAGTGCGGCGGCGCAGCCGTTGGGCGACGTCACCAACCTCCTCCTCCCGAGCACCCCGACCAACCCCACCACCGGCCGCCCCCGCCCACTCCCCTCCGACACCACCGCCGCTGCCTCCACTTGCTCCGCGTCTCCCTCGCACACTCCCGTCTCCAAGCCTTCTTCCGCCTCCGGTGAGACCACTGCCCCCAATCCAATCTCTGCGCGCTTCGTTGTAGCAATTGGGATTTTGCTAACGCTCGCCATTGCAGCTGCTGAGGAGCGTAGCTTGGTTAAATCGGCCATCTCCACCGTGTATACAAGGCGCAACACCGCCCAGAAGAGGAGAACCAACGACAACACACCATTTCCTGCCGGAACATCAAGCTGCCCTCCTCCTGCAACTCTTGCAAGTAAAAACAGGTTGCTCCCCACTTTTCTTTCTTTATCTGCATGCACCTACTACAGATTTCATTCACTTTCATTTCGTAATAATTTTGCTTCATCCCAAACGGCACTACCTTGTTGTGCAAATTGACTTATGGGACAAAGACACTGCAAGCTTCTAGTGCTGGGGTCTGGGGTGGTTAGTGCCTTGGATCATTCTCTTGTTTTAGCCTGAAAATCAGCTACATTAAACTGAATGTGGAAGTAATCCAGACTTTTGTTCTGTCTGACAATGCATTGCAGTTGGAAATGGTACAATAAGAGTAAAAGGTCCATGACAATCACTGTCACCACTTTAGCACGATGCTGTATGTCTGTACTTTGACTCATGTAGAAGGATAAATGTTATGTTCCTACCCAGATAATTGCAAATCTTGTAAAGGAAATTGTGGGCATCCTATCTGCATTACTGTGAAGAATCTGTATGTTTCCCGTCAAAAAAAAAAGGGGAATCTGTATGTTGAGATTGTAAGGCTCTTTTTTTTTTTAGAGAAGGGTATTTTTTACCCGGCCTCTACATCCAACCGGATATATACGGCCATTGAAATAGGGAACTTAGCCCCGCAAATAACCCAATCTGAAATTCGCTTCATAGGAGATTTGAACTCAGGACCTTGGGGTACTACTTAGGTCACTGTAACCACTAGGCTACATGCCCTTTCGTTAAAGTCCCTGAGAAAGTGTTGTGCTGTTAGTTCATTCACAGCCAACAAATAGTTACAGTGGGTGATATCTGAAATACTAAATTGCACTTTTCTTTGTTGTTTTTCTGACTAGGAAAACCTCTATGGCTCAGGGTACTCGGCCTATTTCATCCTTGGTTCCTTGTCATCGATCTAAAAAGGTCAGTTGCATTTCCTAGAACCATAATACATGTTTTGTTATTAGGTATTGAATCATTGTGCTATTGCCTCTTGGAGTGATCTACATGATGCACTGTCCATTACATTTTTGCCCACCTTTGCCATGTAATAATTACTAAAAGCTAAATGTGCTATGTATTTGATTTCTCTTGCACTTCCCTGACCATATTTATATATATTCTGCAATTCAACTGTGATACTGCATATCCAGATGTTATCCTATGAATATTTTGACACACACTGCATTAGTGTGCTTTATGGATATATGCTATGATGCTAAGTATAATATGCTCTTGCCCGGCGAAGTATAATATGCTCTTGGCCATTTTAGGAATCACCTAGCTTAGGTACACAAGTAGAGTGCACTGTTCTTGTTTTGTTTTTGAGTTTCGGTCCTAGATATTTCATCGGGTGAGCCGGTGAAGGTAATGAAACCAGCTGCACCAGTGTCTTCATAAACAGCTTTTGCAGAAACGCCTCTCAAAGAAAAATAAACAGTTGTCATGATGTTTCACCTTTTTTATTGCTTGAAACTTTGAACAGACGAAGAGCACGAGGATGGAGAATACATCTTCAGGTAAACATATGCTACCAGAAGATTTTGTCAAGAAGCAGAGAGCCTACTTTGAGGAGGTTGATGCCTTTGAGCTGCCAGAGGAGGAGGCCTCAGAGACGGACCTGGAGTGAAGACTCAAGTTAAATCAGTGTATCGGTGCAGCTAGCTTGTATGAAATTACTAGAATATGTGACTACCCTACCTGTACAGAAGCACGCTCGCATAGTTTTACAACAATGTAACTGCGAGTTAGTATAACCCGTGTACCGCAATCATCACCAGTCAAAGCGCTACTGACGTTCTCTCTGTCTTCTGCTTATAGTTGTACAATATCAAGTAGTACTTAGATATCAAGATGAGACCGGTGCTTTCCCCCGTTTGACCTAAACAATGGCTATGATCTTTGTTTTTTCTGGAAGTAACTGCTGGCTTGAAGTACTAATTTTTCTTCAAAGTTACTTCTGATGATTTTTCTTCAGTTTTCTTCAAAGTTACAGGAGTACATAAATTTGCTTCAATCTATGACTGGCATTTTACTCGACACCCTCAGCCTAATTATGCTAGAAGCTATAGATGGAGCTTCATGTGCCTAGCACCAACACAAAAGTCATAACATGTCGCCGTTCAACATGTGCTTTTGCAGCATGCAGTATAAGGTGTGGACTGATGACTTATCAAATCAACCAAAACCAAACATTTGTTTCTTTGTAATAATCAATTAAACAGAGATACTTATTGCGATACTGCCATTATTAGACCATTCCCAACCCAAGAGATTAGATATAGTTTTCATAAACTTCACATCATCAAGAAACTAGTACTAGACACTACTTTTCTAATACAAACACCACTACTCCATACTTAACTTTAATGCTACTTATCTCACATAGTGTCTTGAATATTGTGTAGAAATCATGTCTCATGCAAGACATGGTTTCCTTCTCTTTCCTCATTTTTCACTTGCCACATCATTTTTCATCCTAAGAGCAAGTATAATAGCAGGCTATAAGCCAGCTGCAAATATATTTTAAGAAGATAAATAAGGAGAGAGAAAAGGAGTGGGCTACAGATTTGCTGCCAGCTGTAGCACGGACTCCAAGACACAGTGTGTGTATGACAGGTGGGACCAAATATTAATAGTGTAGTATATAACTATTGTATGAATAAGCTATTAGATTGGCTATCGATGAATTGGAGCTAGTAGTTGGCTATACTATTAAACTTGCTCTAAGTGGCAGCTTATTTAATGCTATAAACATCATCCTAATCATTGGGTTGGGAATGGCCTTAGACCACGCAGATCGAACCCCCCCAAGTCATTGAAGAAGATTATTCTTGTTACAAGCTAGGTAGGTACCGTTTTATCCACAAACAGGCCGTCTGGCACAATCAGCTTCGTCAAAATCTTGTTTCTTTGCAGAATCCAAGATAATTAAAATAAGTAGTGAGTGGCTTTGCTGCTGCAAATACAATAAGGCACTGAATATTCTTTGAAAGAGATGGCGGCCATTTCCTTTGCTTTGCTCTGCTGTGCTTTTGGTTTGTGCTTGTGCTCACCACTCACCACCAGCCCAACTGCTCCCACTCTATCCATCTTACTTCAGTGTATACATGCAGTCGAGTCAACATACATCAATTGGCTGGCAAGCACCATCTATGCAAGGATTGAGCACAATTTTCCGAGTCACTAGTCCTTGGATGCGGCTTGTGAAAGATACCACCATATTCTGCAGTTGTATGCAAATGCATATATCAATTCGAATGAACAGATAGGTAACAGAAGCAGTTGAAAACACCATTGACATCCAGAGGAAAAGCTCCTCCAAATTGAACAATGAAAATATTCGACAATCAAGAGAAACTTCCAAAGTTTGGGGGGTTTGCATACATGGAATATAGGATTGGTTAATGATACTCCTCTATCTTCCTAATAGTTAATTATTTTCATGTTTTAAAATAAAAGAAAGGAGATCACACTGCTAAAAGTGACTTAAGGTGCACAATTTGTTGACAAAGTATCTCCGGCTAACGAATTAGTTCACACCTAAAGTTATGACCCAACTGATCATGCCCAAAGTACATATATTATCTCAATGCAGCCACTCTAATTTGTGGACTACTACAGCTATTTGTTGATACCATAGTTCGAGTTTTCAATAACCATTAGCAAACTGTGGTTTTAGTGTTTCCGACGTAGTAGTGTATTTAATATTACTTCAGTAAACATATGTAGTCATCCCGACTTTGTACCCGGTGACCGAAATCGAATATTCCAGGCTGTTAAGCGGATACAGTCTAGCACAGCTTATTGACAACTGCAATAGCTATTGTCTAATACAGAACTTTTATGTATAAGTTGAATCCTTGTAAGTCCTAAAATATTTTACCCAAATAGCTTAAACCACAACAGTTTTGGCTAGGTTGTACTAAAAACTACAACAACGATATTGTAGAAGAACAAGTCAACCTGAACAATAAGAAATAACAAGTTCAATGATAACTGATAAGATCATTCACCTACCATCCAGCAGAAATTCAATTTTTTGTCACTCAAGTCAGAAAACCTCAAATTCAACTTTTTCCACTACTAAACGCCTCCATTATACGATTAGTCAATTAAACTATTAATTTTGTCACCAAAAAATATGTCAACATTCTTCTGTACAGAAAGGGGTACAAAACCACACAATCTTGTTTATACTAAAAGGGAGCAAAACACATGTGCATTCATGGATAATATTTACCTCGAGTTTTGGAGCTATCCATTTGGTTCTTCAGTAATTCTTCTAGATGGTTACATCTTAGTGGAGGGATCAAAAGACCAAACCACAAAGGGTATCTTGTCATGTTGGCATGCCCCCATCTGATCCTCTCCACTTGCATGCACTTTCTGACTGTAGAGTTTTCCATTAATTAGCCTGATACAAAAAAAAGGAAGATCAACTAACAAAATGCAAAGAATTACAAAGCCACAACAATATACATATGACCAATTGAGCATGTGCACTGAATTCGACCCTATAGGTTGTTGTAAAAACAAAACGGCAGATAGCACATTGCACTCAAGCCTGAACTAAATGGCTTCCCCTAAATCCTTCGCCTGCAGTGTCATTGCCTTGTTGTTTGCTGCACACTTGGTTTCAGCTCAGCTTAGCGCAAATTTCTATGATAAGTCATGCCCTAATGCACTGTCCACCATCCGAACAGCGGTGAGATCTGCCGTAGCAAAGGAGAACCGCATGGGTGCATCATTGCTCCGCCTCCACTTCCATGACTGCTTTGTCAATGAAAGTGTCCAGAACCTGTACAGATACTCAAGTTTTTCTCACTTCTAAGTATCAAGTACTAACCTTCAGTATTCTGACAATGCAGGGTTGTGATGGATCGGTGCTGCTAGATGACACCCCAACCTTCACTGGAGAGAAGACCGCCGCCCCGAACAACAACTCTCTGCGTGGATTCGATGTTATAGACAACATCAAGGCACAGGTTGAGGGGATCTGTCCGCAGGTGGTGTCATGTGCTGACATCCTTGCTGTGGCAGCACGCGACTCTGTTTTTGCGGTAAGGGGAGAAAATACAAAGGATATCAAACTAAGAGTTAGTTATTTGTCTGTCTTAAAAAGTTAACAGGAACTCCTGACATCAGTAGATGAGCAACTGAAATGAACAAAACATAACTCTTTATGTATAGCTATGAAATTCTATACCAAAACAAGCCTTACAAAGTATTAAAAGTCAAGTTGTCAAAGATAGTAAATAAATTGATTGATATTTATAAAATATAATCAGTAGTGACATATAAAAACTGACAATTTATTTTTCAGCTAGGAGGTCCTACTTGGGTTGTCCAGCTGGGACGGCGCGACTCAACAACAGCAAGCCTGGATACTGCAAACAATGACATTCCAGCACCAACCCTTGACCTGGGTGATCTCACCAAGTCTTTTTCAAACAAAGGACTAAGCGCAACTGACATGATTGCACTCTCAGGTACTGTGTATGTAAATTGAACTTTTTGGTATATAATACCATCTATAATAAAACCATAAAATAAAACAGCTATCCTTGCTGAAGCTTGATTGTCAAAACAAACTGTACAAGTGGTGTTACATTTACGTAGAGTATCAATATATCATGGTGCAACCCCAACAAGTTGTTTAGTATCAAGATGCTACTCATCAATTGATCACTAACATCAAATAAAAATATGTGCCAGGGGCTCACACCATAGGCCAGGCAAGGTGCGTCAATTTTCGCAACCGCATCTACAGTGAGACCAACATCGACACTTCCCTGGCAACATCTCTGAAATCAAATTGTCCAAACACGACCGGCGACAACAACATATCCCCCCTTGATGCATCGACACCCTACACCTTTGACAATTTTTACTACAAGAACCTGCTGAACAAGAAGGGTGTCCTGCATTCTGACCAGCAACTATTCAATGGTGGTTCAGCAGATTCCCAGACGACCACCTACTCATCAAACATGGCAACATTTTTCACTGATTTCAGCGCAGCAATAGTGAAGATGGGCAACATCGACCCCCTTACTGGATCCAGTGGACAGATCAGGAAGAACTGCAGGAAGGTAAACTAGGTCATAATTTTTACAGTCTAAGCCTGTGTGTGCCTGTGTGGAAGAGTATAATCTTCAGAGAAGGGAGAAGTGTCCCTTTCCTGATGCTGTAGTCGTCTTGAAAGGTGTCTGTATTGCTATTGAAGAACACATATGTGAAAGAATAAAATGGCATAAAAAGGCAACTGGTGTAACAGTTGATATGGCCTTTCATCTTTTCATCTACAATTCTTGCACTTGAAAGATCATTGATAACAAAACTCGGCTCCAAGCCTCTTACTATGGTTGATGAAGTTCATGACTAAAACAAACTTGTAATAATAATGCTTAAGAACAGCTGTTCAGAATGACTTATCATGCTGGCATTGATCATTACTTGGCTTAATTCTAATATTCAGCTATAGTTTCTTCACCGTAGTATATCCAAGTTGACAAATTGCATATCAATTGTGTAGGGTTCAGGTATATGATCACAGGATGATCAAAATGAACATTAAGAAATGCGGCAATCATGCTTATTTGAAAAGGAAAATTTGAGCATTAGATATTTTCCTACTATCTGCACTTGATATGCAGATATGCAAGAGCCTATATCAGCAACAAGGAAAAGCTAGTAATATATCATATCATGAATATATCGTCATATTCAATAGCAAAGTGAAAAAGTTGACAATATAGTCAAGAGTATACAATTTGTCATATAGTAGATCGAGATTTCTCCTTAGAACCAATATTTATTTTCTGAGGTAGACAAATATTTTCAACAAAATATATTGTTTCCCACAGGAGGTTTCCCACTAAAACGATTGGGAAGGTTTTGTTTATCCATTGTGTAGAGCAAACCAGTCCTATACAACAGAGTTGACAACTCAAATGAAAAAAAAGGTGCTAGCTGAGTAGGAACAGGATAAAATATTCCTAACACCATAGTCGAAAGCAGAGTCAGGATTGGTGAATGTTACGGATAGCTGCATTTATACTTTTACAGTCGAAATCCATGATCTTCATCCAGTTCTCAAAATCTCCAATTTCCTGTAACAAAATAAAACAACAGATGTTTCAGCAACAAGAAATGGAATATGATCGACTAAGGAAGCTATGCAAATTGCCTAGCATTGTACTATCGAATTTATCATGTTATTCCAAATGCAGTGCTACACATGGATACTTTTGGGGAAAATGAACTGCACCAAAAGAAAGCAATCCAAGCAATGTCATCTCATTTTTCATTATTTGACGATAAAAGAGCATGTGATTGGTGCTCTAGTAAGAGCAGTATACATGAACCGGAGAAAAGCGTCTAAAAGAAAAGGAGATAAAGGGGAGGTGAGTAGACCTTCAAGACAGAGTTGATTGCGTTGGTGGCAGCAAGCCACTGGTCAGTCTGCTTCTTGAACCGCGCGATTGTAGCAAGCAGCGCGCGGGCTTCAAACTCTATGCGCCTCTCGTTGATGTAGAGCTCCTGCACTCCACCGTCAACCGTGGCCACGAGAAGATCTGCAACCCGCGCCGCGCTCTTCACAGCATCCACCTTTACTCTCTCTACATGTGTTCAACGGGGGAGAATGAGCAATTCGAGAAATCAAAGGTAAATTTCATCAAAAAATTTGGTTTTGGGCAAAATCAATAGGGGTTTTACCGGTTTTGTTGCGCTGATGGAGGGATTGGTGGTGGTGGCGTTGCATGATGTGGAGCAGCGCCGCTTCCAGCTGCCCGCCCGCCGCCTCCATGTCCTCTTGAATCCGAGGCTGAAGCTAACGCCGCCGCGAGACCTCGAGGAGGGAGAAGGATGTTGACGGTCTCCGCTCTCCGGCGCGGCGGCCTGCAGGGGAGGAGATTGGGGATCAGGATCCTCTATCACTGACATTTGGGCCCACATGTCAGTGACAAAAGCTCCGTGCATTACCAGATTGGCTGGTGTTTAATTCCAACGGATAACCTCGGGTTAAGATGATATTTTCCTTCATACCCCTCATAATTCACAAATTTGATGGTGAGCTTTTTTAAGGAAAACAAAACAAATAATTGTTAAAATGTTCGATCGTATGTACATCAGATGTGCTAAAAGAAGTTCAACATAAAATTGAGGAAATTTTTACAAATTTATGACCTTCCAATTTGCTCCTCAATTCATGTGTCTACGATAATTGTTAACCTTTGACAAACTCGACATGTGATTAAGTTTTGCGGTTGAATATGTGAGTGAGATGGAGACTTTTACGAGGGTTTCCTTCAAAATTTTGATAATTTGACCCTTTTAGAAAACTTTTTTGAAATGTAAACCGTGTCAAAAACTTATTTCAAAAGTAAAACGTGGTCTACGAGGTCCAATGACTCAGTGCCAACGATCATGGCACTAAGTGTTGCCACCTTGGCGGGGACATGAGGTTGGATGGGGTCAGCGCTATGTACTTTGGCGCTAACCTCTTGTACGGTGATAAGTGGAGTTTGTGCTAATTTTTGTCATTGCCTTCAATGTGCCTTGATGGTTTAACTGTTAGACAAGAAACCAAGAGATCCTAGGTTCTTCTCATTCTCGTTACTCATTCTTTGTTTGCCTTAATCACGGGAAAAGAAACAAAAAAATTGCAAGACGTAGGGATCGAACCCAAGTCTCTCGCTTGATAAAGGATGGCTTCACTATTGTGCTACACTTAAGTTCATAACTATACTAATATGTTCTGGATATAATATGTATATGGGGTCAACACCAAAATGCATGGTGCTAACCCCCCGCCCATGGCTCCGCCAGCGTGGCAACGCTTAGCGCCATGGTCGTTGGCTCTGAGCCGTTGGACCTCAGCGCCAATCCCGATGACATTGAGGTGACGGTTCATTTTTTAAATAAGTTTTTGGCATGGTTTACTCTTCAAATAAGTTGTCTAAAAGGATTAGATTGTCAAAATTTTGAGGGTTTCCTCATTTAGAGGGGCATCGATTTGATACAAAATACTAACATTGTGTGACAGAGACGGTCAAGCAATGGCTTCGACATTGAGTCGGTGTTGAGAAGTGAGAAGAGTTTTGGAGGCTCTAAGAAGAGAGTGATAGGAGACAATTTGTGTTATGACAGTGGATCCAATAGCAAATGATGTTGAAGGCAGAGAAGGCCAACACTACGAGAGAGATGAAAGAAAGAGCCGCAATTACGAGTAGATAGGTTATGCGTAGGTAGCACCTAGGAGGTGGCCAACGAGTGATGGAGCACATGGTGGATGGCATGATATTGTTGCATATATCGGTTAAGCTTCTCGAGTTGATCTACCAACTTACCAAGGAACAAAGGAAAAGGGTGAAAAGAATAATACATACATATCTAGAGGTTATCTAGAGGTTAGTAGACCAAGATTTATAATCTTTGTACTTAAATTCCCACAATCAAGGTTCATATATATGACTTACAATAAGGTAGGTAAATTATAGTTTCTATTTATACATTGTTTTTTAATATCATAAACAATAGTCGATTTTTATTTGTCTTTAAAACTGACTTAGAAACTGAATTTAATGCTTGATTGCACGGTATATAACCTCCTTGCGAATAAGAACGTTTGAAGACTTTATTATATTAAAAATTGTTTCCACGGTTCTGATGAACGCCTAGTTTGTAAGGATATAAATGTTTCTAATGGTGTTTGATGAAATTTATAAATATAGTAGTGGGTTAGCGGACCAAAGTTTATAATTTTTTTGTTTAAAAACTGATGGTTTGCATGCAGTTGGATGTGCATCTGTACACCTTACCTCTAGGAGCCAAATCTTTTCAGATGCAACTCCATATCATATCTGTTTTTTATCTTAACAAGAATGCATGATGGAACTTAGTATTAGCCTTGTTGCCCAATCTCCATCTTTTGATTGTTGACCAGTCTCTTTACATCTTAACAGCTCTTTAACTTTTGTTAATGTTAGCCGTCCTGTCTGGTCTAGCTAAGTAGCTTAACTAGCTACCACACTGTAGGCTATTGACTTGTTAATATACTGCAGATGCATGGTCTCTGTTTTCCTTCTGCAGTAGACTAGAGTACTAGACATGTATGCAGATTTGGTCCTGTTTGGTCAGCCAAAACTTCCATTGATTGCGCTACAAAAGCAAATAAACCTGCATGACCGGATGCATTCAGCAGTCATCTAGCACTGAATTCGGTTGGCTAAAATTCTATGCTACTCCCTCCGTCCCACAACACAAAGGATTTTAAGTTTTTGATTGCAATATTTGACCACTCGTCTTATTTAAATTTTTTTTGCAAATATAAAAAACGAAAAGTTGTGCTTAAAGTATTGTAGATAATAAAGTAAGTCACAAATAAAATAAATAATAATTTCAAAATTTTTTGAATAAGACGAGTGGTCAAACGTTGCAAACAAAAACTCAAAATCCCTTATATTATGAGACGTACTCCCTCTGTTTCTAAATGGTTGACACCGTTAACATTTTAGCACATGTTTGACCGTTCGTCTTATCCAAAAAATTTTGTGAAATATATAAAACTATATGTATATATATATATATATATATATATATATATATATATATATATATATATATATATATATATATATGAAAGTATATTTAACAAAGAATCAAATGATAGAAAAAGAATTAATAATTACTTAATTTGTTTGAATAAGATGAATGGTTAAACATGTTAAAAAAATCAACAGCGTCAAATATTTAAAAACGGAGGGAATATGAAATGGAGGGAATAGTATACAAGAAACAAGCTAGACGTTTTGTCATGGTTAATTGGCTAGGTAGGTAGTTCCAGAAAAGGTTTCTTGATAAAGTGCAGCCTTCTCCTAAAAACATACCCCGAAAACAAAATGAGACATTTGAGCTACCGGAAGAACATTTTGACTTGTCTCCATTTTTGATTGGTTAAATCAAAGACCTGAAATGCCATTTGTCCACTACTTCAATTGATCACATGCATGTATGGCAATATGATGTTTTCAGGCTCAATGCATGTTTCATCTTAAAGGTAATTAAGGATCGATTTGCAATTTAATCTGCAATACTCCCTCCGTACTCGCAAAGGAATACTTTAGGACAATCCTTAAGTCAAAACTTGGGAATATAAATCATGAATCTCTCAAGTTGTTGAGTTTGAAAATATAAAAATTATATGAATAGATTTGTCTTGAAAAATACTTTCATAAAAGTATACATATATCATTTTTCAATAAATACTTTTATAAAAAAAAGTCAAAGTTGTGTTTTGGAGACCGTGTCACTGTCCAAAACGACTTTCTTTATGAGTACGAAGGAAGTACGAGGGAGTACACGTACTACGTTGAGTTTTAGGTTTGGTGAGTACGATCCATATCGAATATTTGTACTGCATCAGCTGCTTGCTTTGCCTAATTGATTCTTAATTCTGACACTCCACCTAACGATGTTGTCCTGCTAGTTAATTTCATAATGTACTTCCTTTATCGACCGGCCTTATGTATCTTGCTCGTCCTTTCCGTAGTAAGGACTAACTTAATTTACTACTCCTTCCTCTAGGAGTCCATTAAGCAAGCGATTAGTCGATGCCATTAAGGCATTAACTGCTACCACGATAACAGATAGGTTCGATGATGCGTCCATCTTAAGATCCGAGCTGCTGTGTCACTGGACGGCAAGTTCAACAATAATGATACGTATTTGTGAAGTTTTTCATGTTACGCTACTTTTGTGTCAAGTTTGGCAACGATGCGTATATACTGTGCTCCATCATTTGTTTTAGTTGTTTGTGCGATGGGTCTAAGTTGTCGGATATGTTGTACTTTTTTTTTTCTTATAGCATCTATGTTTTTTTTTACATACGGAAATGTAATTGGCCATTCTTTTGTTGGTTTAGGATTTTCTTAAAAAAAAGGACATGTAGTATAATCTTGAAAATAAATAGGTCTTTATGTATCATTTTTTAATCGTTATACTATGGTATGTTGTAGGTATAAATGCCAAATATTTTCCATTAGCTTCGTCTTGATAAATAATTGCACGCAGATACCGTATTGACATTAGGATTAGGTTGTACAGGTACACCCGTGTGTATTGATCAGAACCAAGATCGAAAATTGTAAAACATTTTTCAAAGAATGCACATATCTTTGATAAATCTATACTACTTTCAAGAGGCCGTCCTCCTCCTACCCTCACTACAAGCGGCGCTTAACCCACGTACATTAAGAAAACACAGCCGTTCGAAAACCAATCTAACAAAGAGAACACCTGCCCAAGAAAAGGCCTTCCCAAGATGAAGCGCTGTTCAAAAATCGATTCGTCAAAAAAACCGTGTACTTAAGAAAACAGGCTTCCTATATGAACCAGACTAATCTACACCAGTACGCCACACCCCTACCTATCCTCGCCAGTTAAAAAAAAGAGCAAAATAACATTAATTATATCCTTTAGTAAAAAAGAAGGGAAATTTTGTTTTTTTTCTTTCCTTTTCTCTTTCTTTTTCTTTCTTCTTCAGTTTTCAGTCTATCTTTTTCTTGTATTCCTTTTCTCTTTCATTGGCCACTTGGCTATGTACCTTTGACCACCATTTCTTTAATGGATATAAGGTAGAGTCATTCTACCTTTTTGCGTAAAAAAGGAAGAAGGGAAAAACAACAGAAATATTACTTTATATTTAAGTTTAGGTTTCAGTAGTGAAGTGGGCTTTATTCCGGTTTGTAACCCCCTTTACTCTCAGGTTGCAAATCAGGACCCCGAATCCTGGACTAAAGATGTCCATCTTTAGTTCCGGTTGAAATAACCGGGATTAAAGATCTATCTTTAGTCCCAGTTAGGGTTACCAACCGGGAGTAAAAATATTAGCGCCACGTGACTGTCGCCTCCCTTTCTTTTCTTTTTTAATTGTTTTTTTCTACTTGCATATTGATTTCGCACCGAACTCAACAACAAAATCATCCACACAGAAACATCACAAAATCATGCATGAATTGACATCACAAATTCATCCGTAACTTCACAGAAAC